CTATACCAGGCATGTGAAAGAAAAAGCTTCATCGGGAAACCTGAGAGAGACATCTAGGCCAGCTTCCAACTCCTGCAATTCTCCTGCTTCAGCCTCGCTAGTGCTAGGATGACCAAAAAAGGGGGCAAAGATGAACCAACTGCAAAGGTCCTTGCAGGAACTCAATCCTGAAATCTTCTTTGCTGATTTCCTGGATTTTTTTTTAACCAGAAGTCTAATTCCCCTTCCCCATCATTCACTAATATTCAAAAGGAACTCACTAGTAATTGTCTCTGCTAGATTTCCCCAAGCATTTTCAGTTTCACAAAGGTAAACAGTATTTTCAAACTGTATCAAATAGGATAGGGTGCAGCTCAGCTGCTAGTGTTTGTTCAGCATCCAGAAAGCCCTGGGATCAATCCCAGAACCCATGTGTGGTGGCACAGGCCTGTAATCCCAGCATCTGAAAGATCAGAAGGTCAAGATCATCCTGGCCTACTTAGTTCCAGGACAGCCTGGGCTGCACATCACTGTCTCAAACAGCAAAACACCCATCAAATATTACAAAATGATAAATGTGAGAAGTTATTAAAATCCCAAAGTTAGGCTGGGTGAACGCCTTTAATCTCTGTGAGCTTGAGGCCAGCCTGGTCCATAGAGAGTTCCAGGACTACCAGGGCTACACAGAGAGACCCTGGCTCAAACAAAAAAGCACTCTAAGTTAAACAACATTTTGAGCCATTTTTCAGTAGTTATTTACTTATTATTTTTGAGATAAAGACTCACTATATAGCTCTGCCTGATCTATAACTCACTATGAACATCAGACTGGCCTTGAACTCACAGAAGTCTGTCTGGTCAGTGTTTACTTTTTAATTCTTCATTTATTTACTTAATTTGTGTGTACATGTGCGGGTGTACACGTATCATGCATGATGCATGTAAAGGTGAGAGGAAAACTTGTAGGACTCGTTTCTCTCCTTCTATCATGTAGTTATGCTTGGTGGCTGGCACTTTTACCCACTGAGCTATCTAGACAATATTAAATCTTTATACATTCAGAATCTAGTCTGAGTTTTATAACTCAGCAAGAAAATAGTCTGGGAGTATAGTGAGGTTAAAAGGGTATAGACACAAAGCAGGCCAGCAGCACAGCCCAGTTCACAACACTAGAAGCCCAGTAGTCTGTTCACTACAGAGCCGTAGCTTCCTAACCAACCTGTCTTTCTGGATTCTCTGCTACTGACTTGGTCTGGAAATAGACTTTATATGCCAAGGTCAAGACTTACCACAGCAGGACTATGACTAGGTGGGTACTAGATTTTGTTAAGGGAGGAATGGAACTCACCCAAAGGTATTCCAGCACCCTCTGACCCTCAATGAGAGACAGCCAATGCCCTTAGGCAGCAAAGAAAATCCAGACTTCAGTCAAGTGTTTGTGCATGCTGATGACTGGAGGGGACTATAAAAATATGACTTCCTAGCTTTTCTGAAGTGCTGAGATGATGAAAGCAAGAATATTTGCCTCTAGCTTTCTCACCTGACCTGGCTAAGTGTCTTGAGAAATTTCCCAAGAGGAAAGCAAACGATTTTCAAAGGTGTAGCTACTGGCAGGCAGCATGGCATCAACCTCCTTTCCCTTCTAGGTCAATACTGAAGAGTTACCCTCAGTTTAGACTTCAGACTCTTGAACACACCTCCTAAGTGTGTATTCTACACTTGGAAATTGAGATGTGTGACTCATTTTCTCACACATGACCTCAGGAGACTCAGACAGGCCAGCCTCTTAAAACGATCCTTCCTCTAATGGGGAATATGCAGGACTCATGTATTGCTATCAACTTTTCTATCATTATCATCCTAGGACAAGACATACAGACCCATGGTTAGATTATGAAAGGCTGTCTATGTGTACTATTCATACAGGCCAGGTGGGACACATGCAAAGTATGCAAAGGAAACAGATCTGTAGGAAAAACAGTAGCTCACTGTGCTCTTCTGTGAGGCTAAAGGTAAAAGCACAAAGGAAAAGACCTAACTAAAACCTGGCCTTGGTTGGCCTACGACTGGGCATAAAATACCCCTTTGCTGAGTTTCTGAGTTCACAGCAGTGCTCCAGGCCCTTTTATAGCTTTAATGAACCAGGGGTGGGCAGGACATATTTACTACCGCTTTATTCAATGGTATTGCTGTTAGCAGCAGCTCTTTCTCTCTCGTACTTGGTCCTTGACCTGTACAATTAGCACCTTATTACAGTCCTAATTACTAACTGGCTCAATTAAGCATTTCATTTGGCTGCCTGGTTCATGTACTAGCTCAAGGGCCTGAACACCCCAGCTACAATAAATCCTAAACTTCTTTTAAGCAAGTGCCTGGTTTTTCATGTCTTTAGGTCCACAGGCATTAGAGCACTTCCTGTTTGGCCCTCTAAGCATGTACAGTCGACCCTTCCCTTCATTCCAGATCTACCAGATTCTGCTCTGGAGGGCTCTCTTCTTAGCTACCTGGAGTTTAGCTTTATTCTGTTTGCGTATAATTTTTTCCTTTATCTGACGACGTGGGCTAAGACAGGCACAAGACTCATCAACATCACACTCCATGTTCCTCTAGAAAGAGGACTTAGAAAGTAAGCTCATGCTAGAACACTCATCCTTGCTTTTGAAACTAAACCTTTGGCCTAGGGGATATAACTCAACGATAGACAAACATGGGCTTTTTTGTGTTAGGTCCCCTGATGGATGACACAGACATTGTGAGGGGCTATAGAAGGTGACACTTGGGACTAAAGGTTTGGGAGTCACAAAGCCTCCACCTGGAAATTGAGATGTGTGACTCATCCTGCCTCTGCTACTTACTAGTTACCTGATCTGTGACCCTTGCTCAGACACTTACGTTTTCTGTGCCTGTTTCCCAAACTGTAAAATTGCCCTTGTAAGGCTAATTTGAGAGCTAAGTCTTTGTAAAGGTTTGACACACAAAAAGCATCACACAATGTCATAGAAAATTAATAGAGCGTGAGGGGTTTTGTGAAAGACACAGCAACAGAACAGCATGAAACAAAACAAAACTAACAGAAATGGAAAAGCAAACGGGTATAACACAATATAATGTGTCATCCTTGGCTCTTTTATTTTTGTGGTCCTATAAAGAAGAAGTATTAGTTGGTAAGTTTTAAAGACATCTAATGGACTCAATGAATATGATGAAAATGATCTGGCAGCACACAGGAGGGACAACGGAAGATGGTACCAGTGTCCTGGTAGGGAATGCCAACCCCACCGTTTGTTTCTTTAGGCCTTATGAACCCAATGTCAGGTACCACTCCTAAGATTAGTCACCAAATAAATAATGCTGACCCCTCTCAACAAAGAACCTGTTGCTGGTTGTCGGGGTAGGTTGTGTATGTGTGGTACTAGAAACTAGGACATTTGCACATGGTAGTGTTCTACCACTATTACGTATTTTTAAAGACATGCTGAAAGCCGGCCCCCCACCCCTCCCCTCACCCCCAGCCAGGAAAAGGACCCCATGGTAGTCAAACTCCAGTATCTTTTCTGAATTTTCAACTTGCTGTCACCTTTCAAATCTTCAGCCTACCCACCCCACCACATACAGTTAAAATGGTCTCTTTTTCCAATAATCTCTAATACAAGGGACCCTAGCTAATAGCAGGAGCCTTTGTTATTTCACCAGTTACTCACACAGAATCTAGTTGTCCAACCAAACACAGAGATCGGGTGTAGGCACTATATTTAGTGTAATATCTGCTCCTCCACAAAAGGAAGAAAAACCTTTCCGGCTTCGCCGTTCCCAGTTACCCTCGGGGGCAAAGTCCAAGACTGCAAGAAGTCTTCTCTGAGAAGCATCTGTAGTACTATATGTACCGACACAGGAAATGCTTGCCTCATCTATCAATGAGAAAAAGCCATCCATTTGAGGGCTCAACAGTTAGCAGTTCAGTACCTAGGAACCTGGTTCCTCGTCGCTTTTTCGACTCACCTGGCAACCCCACTATAGCCGTTAACCCACTATTACCTCTCTAATCACCATGTTCTGTGGCTATGCTTACAGGAACCTTCCCTTCTGCCCGGGAAAGAGTCTTTGGTCAAAAGTTCTATTTGCTTTGCTAGCTGTGAAGCAGAAACGCCTTTTTTTTTTTTTTTTTTTTTGTCGTCGTTGTTCTTTGAGACAGAGTCTCACTACGCAGCCCTGGCCGTCCTGGAACTCACTATGTAGAGCAGGTTGACCTCGAACTCAGAGATCCGCCTACCACTGCCTCCCAAGCCATGGGATTAAAGACATGTGTGGCCCGCACCTTTTATTTCTTGATATTTAGCTGTGAAGGGTGACTTTCTTCAAAAATAGAACATCGGGTACGTGAAGTTTCAACCAATCCCCCCCCGAGTTCCTCTAAAACTCGGTTCATATACTATCTCTCTTCCTTTAAAGGGCTCCCACGATGACCCCAGCGTCACCTTGCAGGCATCCTTTGTGGATATCCAGGTCCCATATTCTCCCAAGGGGCGGTTCTCTTCCAGGCAAGCTGTCCACCCACCTCCCTCAGCAATCCCCTCCAGCCAGGCATCCCGCAGCGCAAGACGCTCTCCCTGCTCTCTGTGGCCCAACACCTCCGGCAACCACACGAGGCAAGGACAACTTACAAAGCCCCGGGTCACACTATCCGATGACGAGCAGCGAGGGAGGAAAGGATAAAGGAAGAGAGGACGGAGAAAGATCGATCCCTGGAGCGGAGGGACGGGGTGAGCACACTAAGAACTCCTCCTGGCTCAGACACTTCCGGACCTAACGAGGGACCCATGCTCTCTTCGGCCATCCCAGGGACCCACTAAGAGGATTGAGCATATGGTCCCTCAAGGGCAGCACGACTTCCACCTTCCTGGGGGCGTCTCATGTGCGGCTACTTCGACTCCGGCCCCAGCGCGCAAGGGTGCGCGCGTCTCCCGGAGTCCCGGCTGGGGCCCCGCGCCTCCCTCCTCCCGGGGTTTCCTCTTTGCACTGACCGTCAACCTGAAGGCAGCTTGCAGTCCCGCGCCGCCAGCCGCTTCCCCTACCCCGGGGCCCAGCCTCCAGCGTCCGCGATGGCTCGGGCACCGGGCGCCGCGGCTTGCCGGACTCGGCCTCACACCGGGCGGCGCGGAGAAGAGGCCCATGGAGCTCCAGGCGGTGGCGGCAGCCGCGGCTGCGGGAGCGGCCGCCGCGCGGGCTGATGACGCGCGGGCGCGGCGGCGGGGGGGGCGCGGGCTGATGACGCGCCGGCGCTCCCGGCGAGCTGGGCAGCATGGCTTCGGTGGCGCTCAGCGAGGCCGAGAAGGTCTACATCGTTCATGGAGTGCAGGTAGGGAGCGGTGGCGGCCGCGGGTGCAGGCCGTGGCGCTCGGGGGAGAGGTGCGGGGCGGCTGCGCGACCGAGACCGACCGACACTCCGAGGCCTCGTGCGGCCCGAGGCGAGCGTGCGTGTGTCCGGCGTGCCTTGCTTTCCACGGCTCTCAGGATGGAGATCCCTAGCCCATCGGGGAGCGATGGGAGCCTCCTGAGGCTGCCGCTTAGGGAAGGAATGTCCTTACGGACTCCGCGCGCCGAGGGGCCTGAGCCTGAGCTCCTGTGACCGGAATCCGGGCCCGTGGATGGGCGTCCGCAGACGTTGCACCGAGAGGGATGGAGGCTATGCCATACACCATCAGCTGCCCCCATCCCTCCCACCCCCAAAAGCGGGGGCGAGAAGGGAATGCAGCTCAGTAGCAGAGGGCTTGCCTAGCATTCACAAGGGCTTGGTGGCTGGCTTCTGTAATCCCAGTTCTTGGGAAGTGGAGACAAGAGAATCAGGAGTTTACGAGCAGCCTGAGCTATAAAAACCCAGGCTCAGGAAAAACCACACTCACACATATGCATTGCTTACAGAGAAGAGTGGGGGGGTGATTTGGTTTTCTTTTGGCGGTGCTGAGGTTTGACCCTCATGGTCTTGTACATGCTAGGCAGGCCTTCTAACACAGCCCCATGCCCAGCCCTTCTTTTCTCCTTTTTTTGGGGGTGGGGTGGGGTGGGTAGGAGTAGGGGTCATTGTATCCCAGGCTGGTGTGGAACTCTTTATGTAACGCCTATCAATCCTTCTGCTTTGGCAGAAGGCATGCCCCATCGCCCCCTGGCTGGGAAGATTTTTTTTTTCCAAAGCAGACTGGTAGAAAGTGGTATAGTTGTTGATTTTTCCTGTTTCAGCTTAGATTCCTGGGTAGCTAGAATGAATTCCATGATGTGTAGTCAATCCTACTTTTGGACATTCAAGAGGAAGAGGTAAAGAGTGTTAGCCTGGCAGCCATCCGTCTGATACTCTGCAAGCCTTCTCCTTGCATTTGATGTTGTAATGTAGCCGTCAGATTAAGGCTACCTGTTACCATTTAAAACTCCATGATGCAAGTGAGGGCCATGGTCTTTTCTAAAATCATATGACGTACTGTTAATCTTCTGTGCTCCTTATAGAGTAGAAATGCCGGTATTTAGTCAGTAGGCTGCACAATAAGCCTGATTAATAAAATCCAAACCTACAGCTCATTAGTTTTTTAGTTCAAGGTAAGGAATAGTGGGGTGTGTGCCGAATGGTTTTGTGAGGTAATGTTAAAGCGGTCAGCCATGGGGGTGGGGAGAATGTTGCTTCGCTTTCTGTTTTTTTTTTTTTTTTTTTTCTGTCAGAAATGTGACTTTGTCGCCGGGTGGTAGTGGCGCATGCCTTTAATCCCAGCACTGGGGAGGCAGAGGCAGGCGGATCTCGTGAGTTTGAGGCCAGCCTGATCTACCAAGCAAATTCCAGGACAGCCTCCAAAACAATACAGAGAAACCCTGTCTCAAGAAAAAAACCGGGGGAAAAGAAAAAGAAATGTCACTTGTCCTAAACCATTCATTCCACATCACTGGTCTTCATGATGACTGCATTAAAAGATTTAAAGTCCTCAGATTGAGGAAATATTAAATGACCTGAAGAAAAAGTGGTTTCATTGTATCAATTGGAAAGCTTCCATTCACCTCCTCTGATAATCACCATAATGATCAGTGACTATCTATCTGCTTTTCTTTGCCAGGCTGTATCCTTTCTCAGTACCCACTTGTCTAACTTCCCTTCCATCTTGGTGAAATCTGCCCCCCCACCCCTGTACCTATAATTTTGCATGGCTTCTTCATCCCCTCTATCAAATCATGGCCTAACAACTCTTTGCATTTCTATGCCTACCTCTTTGTGGCACGCCTTGGACTACATGCCTACCTCTGGCCCTGTTGGAGGAGGGTAGTAATTCAGGTGGCCGCTCCAGAGCCGAAAGCCCAGTGGGCTTTCCTTGTTCAAGCTACTGAGTGTTATAACTGTAACCTCGTAACCAAACTAGGTCATGGCTATTGATTAGGCTTTCAAAGAGGCTTTCCTCTTGGGGCTCTGTCAAAGCTTCTTTGTTCTTGGCTGTGAGAGGAAGGCATAGCCCAGCTGATGTTTTCTGTATCTCTGCTTCTTTTCTATGGCCTTTTAGCTTAATTATTTTATCTGGTCTTCATTTGATAAGGTTGAGAAGTCAGCCTTCAGCTGCTCAGTCTGACCATTCAGAACTGAAACTAGTCCCCAGCACATTTCCTGTTCAGCCCTTTGCCCTTTCCATTTACAAATCCATGGCACAGAAAGCCTGTGTGCCGCCGCTGGGCTGTACCCCCCCCCAACCTTATCAAGCCACGTCTTTTCAGAGGGATACAAAGCTGCTCAGAGGGACTGGAAAGAGAGTCGCCCTCTGGTTTTACTTGCCATTTCTCGGGCCTGGTCCTGCAGAGCTGGGCCAGATAAGGGTTATTTTCTAGTATGAGGACACTTAAATCTCAGCTCTCCTCTAAGAAATGCCGAGGTACTGGACATGTCAAGGCAAGGTAAATGGAGGGGTCACCAGTCTGGAGTCCTGAGTATGTTGTATGTTACTCTGAGCTTATTTGCCTGGCAGAGTCATAGTGACAGTCCATCCATACACATGGAAAAGTAAATAAGTAATTAAGAGTAACTAGGGTTTAGTGAACCCAAACTGAAATATAAAGAGTCTCAAATGAGTTTGGTTTACAAATGAAAACTAACCCAGGGAGGGAAGGGCAAAAGAGAACTGAGAACATTGTATCTACATCTACATTGTACTCTACTGGAAGGTTTGTTTCTATGGGGAGAATAGTTAGCAGCCTTGAAACAGGGGCGTGTATACCGAGAGAATTTATGGAAATGGGGTTAGATAATGACAGCCAGGTTTCTCCCCGCCTCCACCTCTAGAGATTTGATGAGACTCAGAGAAAAAAGTTACAAATAAGAAAAATAAATTCTGGAATGAACTATGGACATGAGATGGGAAATGAGCTAGAGAGAGAGAGAGAGAGAGAGAGAGAGAGAGAGAGAGAGAGAGAGAGAGAGAGAGAGAGAGAGAGTATTCCAGTTCTGCTTGCTATGAAGGTTTAGAAACAGCGAACTTAGCACCCAGATCCTGGTTTTTGAGTTCTGTGTGCCACTAAGAGGAACCAGGGCTCAGAATATTTTGTGTTGTCACAAATATGGAAGGGTAGAAAGAGCACAGAACCAACCTAAAGGTTCCAGCATGCTTTGAGTGACAAACGTTAGAGTCCAACATGAAACGCATATCTACGTGTTGTGCAGTTGTGAGTAAACAACGGGAAACAAATAGATGGGCAGAAGGGACAGCATGTAGCCACCCTGGAAACCACCTTAGGCAGCGGGGTTAACGAACTGCTGCTATAATGGACCAGTTGTGAGTTTGTAGGTTCCCCTCAGCCAGTGTTGGAGAAGCATTCAGAGTGCCTAAGGGAACGGGCATGGCCGTGTTGCCACCAAATCACAGAAACAAGCTCACCTGCATTAGTTTGTTGACCCTATTTTAGAAGGTGAAGTTTTCAGGTTGTTCATAACAGGCCTTGTAAACTGAATTTGGGATGAACCGGGCTCCAGCTGAGACAGTTGTGTTTGTAGCTCTAGCAAAGCATAGCCTTGTGGATTTGGAGAGCAGGTATCATTTTTTTCTTTTCCGTTTTTGTGTATGTATTCTGTACATCCATATACAGCAGGCCTTCGTAGTGAGACACATCTGACATGAAACCATAGCTTTGTCAACAATAACTATAGGATAAGTCACTTGAGTCTCTTCCTTCTGTTAATCTGGTAGTGTTGTTAGTAATAATGAGGGCAGAATTTGTGTGACCCGCTGAGAAAAATGGCAGTTGACTGTGTTTCTCTAGGGGAGGAGGGGAGTCTGTGCATCTGGGGTCATACCCTGGAACCTGTCGTTCCACTAGGAAGACCTTCGGGTGGACGGCCGTGGCTGTGAGGACTACCGATGTGTCGAAGTGGAGACCGACGTCGTGTCCAACACCAGCGGGTCTGCCAGAGTCAAGCTGGTGAGTTCTGTGGTCACAGTCCAAACCCAGGTAGAGAGGTGGTCAGGCCTTAAGAGTCGGCCACAGAGGTCCTGCTGGCTTTGGGAGGGTCCACATTGGTCCTCGGGGAGACCCCAGTCCCTGAGCCATACCGAGAGAGTGCATCTCTCCAGATCCAGAGCACCCCCCCACCCCCATCTTAGAATACCGTATCCCAAGCAAGCTACAACACATACCTGTCTGGAAGAGGAGTGTGGTCGTTCCTGATCAAATACTCTTGTGTGTGTCTGCAGGGTCACACAGACATCTTGGTGGGAGTGAAAGCTGAAATGGGGACCCCGAAGCTGGAGAGACCAAATGAAGGCTACCTGGAGTTCTTTGTTGACTGGTCAGTACCGCGCAGGGGTGTCACTCGGTGGTAGAGTACCCGCACAGCATGTGGGAGGCAGCGGGTTTAATCTCTGTAATCTCTGCCTCCCACTGGGAGAAAGACTGAACGATGAAGATTCAGAGTGTGAACCATGTCTTGTTTGTTTAGCCTTTCACTAATCTGGGAGGTATGTTTACTCACTTGTAAAGAGCCAGGCAGTAGGTGGACCTGACCTTGTTTTAATCACCTGGCTCCCGCTCAGCTTTTCTTTCTCTGTCTGGAAAAGGCCATCAGCTGGGAGGCCCAGCATATGGTCGTTGTGAGGGCTAAGTGAAATTGTAAATGGTAAGATGCTTTGAGAAACACCAAGCAAGGGGAATGTGGATCGTTTGGTCCACATTACCCTCTCTCTTCCAGCCCTTGCTCTGCAGAGAACACATGTTTTGCTTGGCAAGTGGGGTCAAGGATCAGCCAAACAGCCTGGCAAGCTGGAAACATGGCCATAATGCAGGCAGCAAGTGCTCTGGGAAAAACCAGGGCTCTGAGGTGTGTGTGTCCAGCCCTGGCCAGACTGTGTGGCCTCAGTAGTGCCTGAATCTCTCCATGTAAAAGGGTGGAGGCTAAGGTATGGTGATGAGGAATAGTGAGAGCAGAGAAGCTTCTAGACAACCACTGACTCAAGAGATTCAGAAACCTTACTGCTTTTCCTCTTCTAGAATTGGGAGTTTCCAACCTTTTATTTTATGTGTGTAGGTGTTTTTCCCACATGCATGTATCTGAGCACCACACGCATGCCTGGTGCTACTGAAGACCAGATGAGAGAGCATTAGATGCCCTGGAGCTGAAGTTACAAACAGTTGTAGGTGCTGGGAATTGAACTTGTGTCCTCTTCAACAGCAGCAAGTGCTGTTAACCACTGAGCCAATTCAGGATTGAGCCCCTAGGATTGTGACTTTTATTATATGGCCTCATCTCAGCTTCAGTCCTCACCCTGCTTCTAGAGGCAAGCGTTGACAACAGCAGGCCTTCTTTGTCAGAACACAGTCCAGCAATGGAGTCCTGTGAGACTTCTGAGCGCTTGTGCGAAAACAAGAGTCTTCTGACCTCAGTTTCTCCAAAACACAGAATTGTTCTAGGAATGGACTTTCATGCCTCCCAGGTGTAGCAGAGAGGAGTGCGTTTACTTCAGACTATTCATTACAACTGGCGATTGTTATTTGTTTATGTGACTATGGAGAAACATGTTTTTGCCGCCTGCAGTGTGTCCTTGTGATTGTACACAGCTTGTGCTCATGAGATCTTTATTCCAGTGACTGTGGTAACCCTCAGGATACAAATTTTCTGATGCTTTGAATAAAGCTAGCTATTGCATTCTCCCAATTCTTACCACCTCCAGAGCAGGAGTCATTCTTAAGATGCCTCCCAGCTTCTGCTAGGTCTAGGTGTGTGTGTGTCCTGTAGCCCCAAGACCTCCTCCACAGGCTTGTTAGAGAGATCATAGGACTCAGCAGATGTGGCTTTGTAGGGGCAGCAACTTCCTTATGGCTTTTCTCCCACTCAGAATTTTAATGTGGTCACATAGGCACCTTGCGCAGCTCAGTCTCCTAGGGAGGCATAGAACCAATTAGCAAAGTCTAGGCACAGTGGCCACTGTGTCAGTCCTTCCCACACAGGTGGGCCCATGTTTGTATGGCAGTTAATTTTCCCGTCTTCCTTTCCAAACACAGAAGTTGGTTCTCACTGGACCCCTGTGAGAGGAAGACAAATGAAGTGTATAGAGAGGAGGTGCCTGCCCAGGGTCAAGTGGCCAGAATGCAGCTCAGGTCTGTGTGACTCAGGTCTGTGTGTCTTGCTCTCTCGGCTTCTATAGCAGAGGCCAGCTTAAGAGAGATGTCGAGATGGGTGGAATAATGTTCATGCCTCTTTCTGGCCAGTTTTCTTTCCAGCTCTTCTTCCACCACCACCACCCCCCCCAATTCTGCAGTTGTGTTATCGTGGAACCGGCTCATCCTGCAGGTTGGGTGTACCTGACCTCACCTGCAGATCCCATTATTTACAGACAGAGGAGCTGTGACCGCTTTCCTGTTCCTCTCTTGTTTTCTGCCTCTCTCTCATCCTGGCCAGGCCAAAGACATGCTGACCACATTATACGCGGCCCTGTACTCAGATGCAGGGAAGGAAGGATTTCACTGAGCTCTGATTTGTGACTTTTTCCAGGAGATACTAAATTATCTGTTCCTTCTCACCCCTGGGATTCACAGCAGCAGCCCAGAGGATGGCTTATTCATGTTCGTCCTAGTGAGTAAAGTAAGTTTAATAGGGCTTGCTTAGGGAATAGAAGATGATTATGGGTGGCTGCACTTTCCCCAAGTCACTAGCCCGGTCCAGAGAGATGCCTAGTGTTGAGGTGACCATGGGTTCACACCGCCTAGGTGCAGTGGCACAGTCATGTTTTTGTGTGTGCACCGTCCTGCCCTTATCAGAGTTTTTGGCTTGCTGCTAAGTGGAATTCCTCTGGCCAGAACTCAGAGAACTAGTGCCACTGTAAGCTGAGTGTCGAGGCAGGGTGACTCCTGTGTGAGGAGATTCTTTCAGCTGCTTCCTCTCAGGATCTAGTGTGAAGCAGCCTCACTGGCCTGGCCGAGAGTGCTGCCCGCTGGTCTCTTTCCCTCCTTTCTTCATCTCAGAGGACCTCTCTAGGAGCTCCCGTTTCCAGAGAGGTCTGAAGCCTGTCAGATGAATAGTCTCAGGGAAGTGAATCCTAGCTTCTTTACAAGGCTTAGCAAGCAGGGTTGATCCCGGAGGCAGAGTCACACCCGTGCTCTTGGGTGTGCCCTGCTTTCTTAGTCTTTCTGTCCTAATCCCCATGATTAAGCCTGTATTGAAATATCTTTAATAAAACTTGCAACTCTGCTTTATTATAAATAAAATAAAATAAAAAAGAGGGCTGGGGGTGTAGTTCAGTGGTGGAGTGCCTGCCTAGCATCCACAGTGAGGAGCTGAGGTACGTGGGTCAGTAAGTAGTGAACCTCTTGCCTAGTACATGGGAGGCACTAGGTTCCTTCCCTGGTCACTCAAAAAAAAAAAAAAAATCCCCAGGAGACAGAAGCAGAGAAGGGTCTGCACAAGTCAGTCCGTTCCTTGTACCTTATCAGTGCTTCTGGGACTCCCTAAAAGTCACAAAACCTCACTTGATGTAGAAGAGGACTGCCATCTGTTCTGGAACCTCACGTGAGACTTCAGAAGGCCAGTCCCTTTCTTGCTGCCTTGAAAACAGAAATGGCTCTTGGGTGCCTGTGGTTTGTAAGCCCAGCAGCATACAAGCCACACGCCGAGGAGGGAGCTCGCTGGAGAGCTCCTATCTGCAGGCTGTAAAGTTGCTCCCCAGTGGAGGAAAGCATTGTAAATGGTGTTGGCATGGAGTCCCCCTCCTGCCACTCTTGAGCCCAGCTTGATTTAAATCCTTATCAGCAACTTCCAGGTTTTTATTATTTAAGTTCTCAGTTGTACTGGTCACTCAAAGCTAATTGCTTTTCTGGTAACTCATTCTCTTAGGGTCTGTGTCCTGTGTGAATGATAGTATGGACCCGGGTAGACAGTGTTCCTCGCTGCCTCAAAGGATCCAGCTACCCTGACCCAACCCAACTCCAGCAATGCCAGACTGCACTTACACTAATAGGGAAGCAAAATAGACCTCAAACCTTCTCATGGGTCTTTGCCTTGTTTGTAGTAACGGAGAAAACTCCACTTTAAATGAGAACTTTTAAACTTGAGAAAGGTTGGTTCCTATCTACAGCCAGGAAGAAAGAATTCAGTAGGCTGCATGCCAGTCACTCGAGCTGCCACTAGGTGGCAGCCCATTGAGTCACTGTTAAGCTTCTGACTTTGTATCAGAGCTTTTGGACCTCGGAAAGACTTGGGTTTTACTTGGGGAATCCAGGAGAATGTTTGTCACGCCTGGGTTTCAATATGCCAAGTGTCTGTTAGTTCCCTTTGGGATCTTAACTGATTTTTAGTATGATCATGTGTGTTTTTTCCCTAGCACAGAGCCAGCCTTTGAAACCTGGAGGGTGGAACTGTTCTTTGCCTGTCCGGAGAACACCATTCTTGGCTGAAGGGCTGGGGATGGTGACAGAGCAGAGAGGTGGCTTAGAATGCCATTTCAGGTCGGTTGTACTCAGTCTCTCAGGCTGATGACATAAATGACAGAGACATCAGAGATTACAAAGCAAGGTTGAGAATGTGCACTGTTCTTGCCATTGCGTATGTGTGGAAGGTTCTGCAGTCTCAGAAATGAGTGCCCGCACACACAGGAGTCGGCCAGGTCAGCCACTCTCTACAGTAGCCTGTCCTGTGTCCAGGCTGCACAGAGGATTCAGGCTGTATTAGTTACAAGGGGAGCAACAGTAGGCTTGAAGTCTGGAATCCCACTACAAGTAGACATAGCTTTGATCTTACCCTACTCCAGTTAAGCAAGAGATATGCCAGGCAGCAGGAGCAGTGTAGAGGGGATAAATCAGGAGAGTGGAGAGGGACTGGAGTGTGCTCTCTGAGAGTCTGAGTTGGTTTGGTAACTATTAGCATTTGGTTTTATGGCCTCCTGTGATGATACATGTAAGCAGAGGCCTGGAAATACCGGCCTTTGCCTCTCTCTCACACACTCTCTCTCTCTCTCCCCCTTCTCCTCCCCCTCCCTCTCCCCCTCTCTGCCTCCCTCCCTCTCCCTCCGTCTCTCCTTCCCTCAATACAGGTTTTCATGAGACCTGCTTTCTTTGACCATATCTGTGGTCTAATAAGTCTCATGACTAGAACACACATTTGATATCAGAGACAAAATACAAGCCCTAGGCAAAGCTAATCTGAGATCATACTGCAAGCTGAGCTACTTGACAAGCTGAGCTACTTGACAAGCTGAGTTACGCCCTTAGCTCCCTAGGCAGACTCATGTGACCTCCTGCAAGTTGTGCAACCTATCTGACCCCTCTCGTTATCTGGATTGTGTCAGAGGTTAAGGGTGCAGCTCAGGGGTAAAGAGCTTTCCAGGCATTTGTGAAGCCCCAGTTTTATTTCCCAGTACCACAGTAAAATAAAGATAGGATCGTTGGTACTGCCTAGAATTTCTGCAAGAATAAAAATGGCTTGGTACATTTGAAGTACTAAGAGTTGTATATAACACATAGTAAACACTTGTAAAATTGAGACTGCCTGTAAGGTTCGGCTTCTTTTATGTGCTTTATTTTTCCAGAGTTGTTTTTTGTTTGTTTGTTTATTTGTTTTTAAGACAAGGTCTTGCCAAGCAATAGTGGTGCACACCTTTTATCCCACACTTGGGAGGCAGAGGCAGGCAGATCTCTGAGTTCAAGGCCAGCCTGGTCTACAGGGTGAGTTCCAATTCAGCCAGGGCTACACAGAGAAACCCTGTCTCAAGAAGGCAGAAAAAAAAAGAAAAAGGAAAGACAAGGTCTTACTGTGTAGCCCTGATTGGTCTGGAACTCACTATGTCCACCAGGCTGATTGTATATTCAGAGTCGCCTGCCTCTGCCTTCTTGAGTGCCAGTATTAAAAGTGTGTACCACCACACTCCGCTACCAAAGAAATCAAAAACCCTTTAGTCAGACCTGGGACATGCCAGCGTCTTCCTTGTTGAATGTGTTGCTCTCTGTTGTTTGACCCTTTGTCTGGGTGCATGCCATTACCTGGCTTAGTACCTGTGAGGTATTTGATTTTTATTCCTTGGAGATGGTCTCTGTGGCCCTTTCCTCTCTGCTCAGCTGTTGCAAAGGGTCCCTCCTGTTTTAGGAGCCCCAGTGATAGACAGAACCTTCATCCCTCTGCTCTGCCTGTTCCTTTGCCGGAATATAGGTACTCTGCCCCCCCCTTTGTTTTTATTTTATGTGTATGGCTGTTCCATGGAGGCCAAAGAGGTTGTCAGATCCCCTGAGACTGGAGTTACAGGCGGCCATAGCAGTCATGTGTGTGCTAGGAAAAGAACCGTCTGTTGGTTTTTTGTCATCGCTGTTGTTTGTTCATTTGTTTTCTGAGACGGGGTTTCTCTGTACAATCTTGGCTGTCCTGAAATTCTCACTTTGTAGACCAGGTTAGCCTCAAATTCAGAGATTTGATTACCTCTGCCTCCCAAATGCTAAGTTTAAAGGTGTGAGTCACCATGCCAAGATAAACCTAGGTCTTCTGGAAGAGCAGCCAGTGAGTCATGTCTCTAGCCCCTTTCTGTCTTTTCTATGCTTCCCAGCGCATGTGCTCTGTTTCCCATGCTGAACACTTACCTCCCGTGTCTCTGGGGCCTCCACTGGGTCACCCTACAACTAGGGACATTGCAGATAGTCCTGGCCTCTAATCTTCCCTTCTGCCTGATTGTCAGCTGTGCTGAAAGAATGTGTTTGAAAATAAAAGGCTGTTTTAAAAGGCTAAAATTTACTTTAAATTAGCTTAGTCCTGAAGAAACAATGGGGCCTGGCTTTGTGGACAGATGGGTATAGACAGTTGAACTGGGGAGCTGTGAACAGCTCCCAAGACTGTGGTTTAATGCTGTACCCTGAGACTGGGAAGCTGAAGGTGTGCCTGCTGCATTCAGTGCACATAGGAGGTGAGGACAAGCATCTCTGATTGGTTTGTGCACATAGAGACCTGTGTGGTGTCCTGAGGCTGCCTGGTGTTGAAGTCAGGAACAGGCTGTGTGCTGCTGACTGTGTTAAGGTGCAATCCTCAGTCTTGGCTGGCTGTGTAAGGGTGCAGTCCTCGGTCTTGGTCAACTGTGTAAGGGTGCAGTCCTCAGTCTTGGCTGTTTCTCCTCAGCAGAGCTGCTTTGCGCTGTAGCTGATGCTGGCAAGGCATTTTGGAAGTCACCAAGTGAAACCTGTCCATGTTTTTAAATGTGGGTTCTGCTTGCTGATAGTGTAAAGGATGAGCAGGTAATCAGAGTTATACAATAAATGCTGTTCTGTGATTCACTCTTAGACTGTATCACTAAGTAAGATTCCTTTCACCATTAAATAGATGGTGTGAGCCCAGCTGTGGGCCGCCATGCTGGCATTGCTTTCCCAGAGCCCCTCTCTCCTCTTGCTGCGTTGATAGCTACTTTCCTGGAGTGTGCAGCTTCTTGACCCTCCAGGAATAAGAGATATATATCCACATATATTCCCACCCCACCGCCCCCATCCAGCTTCCCCAGTTTCCAGCTTCCCTTGCTGGCATGCACTGATCCCTGTCAGCTTCTCGGGAGTCAGGATGCTTCTGTGTATGACTTTGAGCTGAAGCAGCTGGCCCCATACTTTTCCTACTGCCAGATGAGTAATGTTTACTGACCTCACAGACTTACTGGGCTGCTTTGTGTGGGTGCTAAACTCCCAAAAAGTCCTGTAATGCCTTTGAGTCACATCAGAGTGGCACACGTGAACTCTTGTTAACTCTTGGTTGAGGGAACTGGGCATAAGTCGCAAGAATCCAAAAGGAATTTCTTTTTTCTCTCCTGAAAAATAAATACCAAATGACATCAAATACAAACACTTAACAGGCCAGCAGTGTTCTCAACGTTTTCATTCATTTTCCTTCTCGGTGTCTGTCCTACTGTCATATGTATCTTCTAAGTCATTCCAGAAGGGTCTGACCCTGCGCCGAAAGCTAGGGCTGGTGTGGAGACTGAGAGACGTCTCTAAAGCGTACGTCACAGTCGTGAGGCTTCCTAGTTTTACAGGCCAACCAGAGACGAGTGCCATCTTACTCTGAAGATTAGAGTTCATTACACCAGCTGACGTTCACATCACCACCAATTGCTTCCTCCTCTGCTGAAGAAGGACTCTGTCTGAAGGCCTGTCACACCTACGGCTGTAGGGCGCAGTGCCAGGCTAGGTCATTATACGTAACTATTTGCCCCCGGGGTAGCTAATACCACCCTTTTCTCCTCTCAATGACTTCACCTTTTTTCCCTTGGGCCTTTCTCAGGCTAGGACAGCTCTCTGCCTTTTGGTCCTTGGTGACATTTCTTTGTGCTGGCTCTCCCAACATTCCACGGAGAACAAGTTCCTTGTGTTTGTAGAGACTCACACAGCTTTTCTGTCCCTGTCTTGTGTAGTTCAGCCAATGCCACCCCAGAATTTGAAGGGCGAGGAGGCGATGACCTTGGCACCGAGATCGCTAACACCCTGTACCGGATATTTAACAACAAGAGCAGCGTAGACTTGAGCTCCCTCTGCATCAGTCCCCGGGAGCACTGCTGGGTTCTCTATGTGGATGTGCTGGTGAGTCACCTTGCATCGAAGACCTGTTGGTTTCTTTCCTCTTCGTGGGGAAATGTTTTCAGTCTCCACAGTCAGATAATTTGAAAAGAGATGATCTCCTGTAATAATCTCTCATTTACAAGAAAATACAAAACATTAATAAGTGGTACATATAACACCATTCTGTAACAAAATTGTAGGCATAGCAGCATTGTACCTGAAAATGCCCTTAGGTAGTTATAAGAGAATTAAAAACAAGAGCCCTCTGGATGGTACCAGACAGATGTTAGAATTTGGCAAGTTGGTACTTTGTGTGGGATAATAAGCTCTCTGCATGCATTTTCAGGTAAGCCTTCCAAACCTTCGGTGAGTAGACACTAGAAACCTAAAGAAGAAAAGGAACTAGACCATTGTCTCTAATCAGTGGGAAAAAGAGATCTACAGAAGTAAAGAACTCACCGGGCAGTGGTGGTGCACACCTTTAATCCCAGCACTCGTGAGGCAGAGGTGGGCAGATCTCTGTGAGTTCCAAGGCAGCCAGGACTGTTTCAAAGAGAAACCCTGTTTGGAAATCCCCCCCCCCCCAAAAAAAAGGAAAGAAAAAAAAAACACAAGAACTCAGCCAGTGTGAGGCAGGGCCTGCACTTGACCTCTCTGGGAGGAGTGAGCCAGGCTCTAGGCCTCAGTTGGAGAGGAGGTTACATGATGTCGGTGCATGTAATAGGACTGGGTACCCTATTCCTTGTTTCTGATTAGGACATAATCTCCTGAAATCACTGCTGCTCAGTATTTTTAGATTCCATATGAATAAACATGAATGAGAATGGCAGGAAATAGTGATAACAAGGCTTGGGTGATTAGAGGCTGCTGTGCTGTGTTGTCAGGAAGAACAATGGGTTCACCTTCAGTGTGGCCTCTTAGAATTCACCCCGGGCTTAAGTGCAGGAGCTGACCCTTGGGAGTGTGTGCTGGGTGTTTAGCTCAAAAACCTGAGAAAAGGATCCAATTTTTAAATCCAGAATTATATTTTCAGTTGAGTCTTAGAATGTGGCCAGCAAGAGGCATTTCTGTACAGATGTTATTAAGGGTCTTTCTCAGGGGGGATGATGAATGCAAAAGTGCATAAAATGTCATGCCCATCAAAACCAGGAGAGATTCATGGCTTCTCAACACGTGACTTCTCCATCTCCTTGAGGAGTCTGGTTGTTGGCTTTTATCCAGAACCTTGGACAGAGGCTTCTTGGGAGGGTAGATTTGCCACCTCCATGTGAGGTATTCTCCGACCTCACCTGCCAAAGTTTACCTTGGTAGACTTGGGCTTTTATGATTCATGTCCAATGTGTAGTGGTACAGGTCTGAGCACTGGGTATGTGTCTTGTTAATCACATACTAGCAGTGTCCCTGACTCCATACATGCAATATTCTTTGTCAGTCATATGATAACAAGGGCTGAAGTGAGGCTTGCAGCACAGTTGGGAGCCATCTGGGGAAAAATTAAGTCAGCTTAGGTACAGACCCTGCTGCTTGTGAGAGCCTTGTCACTTCAGCAGGGCAGCAGAGACCTTGCATGTGAGCCTGTATAACTGCAGCTTTGAGACAGCAGCACTGTAGTTAGGGAGCATGTCCCTCTCCTCATGCTTCATCTGGCCAAGGAGGGCAGCCCACATTCTTATCTTTGTTTTACTAATTTATTTATTTATGGGTTTGTTTGGGTTTTGTTGTTGTTTTTTGTTTGTTTTGAGACAGAGGCTCACTATATAGTCCTGGCTGTCCTGGAACTCACTATGTAAACCGTGCTGGCCTCAAACTCACAGAGATTCACCTGCCTCTGCCTACTGGGTTCTGGGATTATAGATGTGAACCACCACACCTGGTTTCATGTCTTTATTTTTTAAATACACATTCAGCATGGCGTAGGCATCTGCTTCTTAGCTGGATTAATGCTTAGTGATAAGTAATGCTGACTTTTTCCTCTCTGTGCTTGTCTCTCAGCTGCTGGAATGTGGTGGGAATTTGTTTGATGCTATTTCCATTGCTGTGAAGGCTGCTCTCTTCAACACAAGGTGAGTCTCCCTAAAGACCAGTCCTGTGGGCCTGTGTGGAACTTACCATGGAACACTGACAAGGAAACTATACTAACATGGTTTTAGTGTTGAAAGGGATGATATCTAATGTTAAGCTCCAGGAAAGAGATTTTGTAAACTAAGTAAGATGTGTATATTTTTGTGTTTATTTTTTTCATTGTTTTCATTGGTAAACGTGTGCTGTGTAAACAGTATTAGGAAACCAGAGACACAAAGTACACACTAGCTTCAGGTTGTCTATCTACCCATTTCTACCCATAGCACCTAGCACACAGTAGGTACTCACATTCCTTGTTTGTGTGTATGAATGTTCTAGGAGGGGAGCATCTTGGTTTTGGTTAAAAACAATGGTTCCCCCACTGTGGCTTCCTTTCAGAGATAGGCTATGAACACACAGGGAGCTAAGATTTGTGTTGACATTTCTTTGACTGTATCTGTGAAGAGAGTCTAGCAGCTGAGTAACTGTGTGGGTGGATGTGTGTTCATTTCCTGAGGCATCCTTGTTAAAGAATTGTGATTGGCTGTTACAGCAGCCAAGTTGGTAAAGAGTTTGAGAACCTTGGTTCAGTTCCCAGAACTCACTTTAAAAAGCTAGGCGTGGAGGGTGGTAAGAGTCAGGGCACAGACCTCTAACCCTGTGCTGGGACTCCTGGCCAGTCTGTCTAGCTGAGTCAGCCAGCTTGAGGTTCCAATGAGAGACCCTGTCAGAAAAAATAAGGTAGAGATCAAGCAAGATACCTGAGATCCTCTGACCTCTGCACATGTATAAACATGCACACCATATGCACAAAAGAAAACTTTGAATAAGTGAGCACATATGTTTATTCTGGAACAACCATCATGTTTTTTTATGGTGAAAGTTGAACAACCTGAGTCTCATTACATCAGAGATTAAAATACATAGCGGCATCTCCAGAGGCTTGTGAATAAGGAAACCTGCTCACAAAACGCAGCTTTCGTGTCCTGTTAGATGGTTGTTCTGCTTTGACTCTGACTGTTGTGTTTGGTGTGTCTGGGAATATTTCTAATGGTCACTATCTTTAATTTTCAGTGCTCATGTTAAATCAGTGTGACACATAGAAATTTTAGACCTGTAAAGAGAAGCCTTCCCACCAGCCTGGTTCCAGAGCCGCATCAGTCCCAAATAAACACACAGGAGGCCATATTAATTATGAAGCTGTTGGCCTTGTTTGTTTCTTACTGGCTAGCTCTGACTTAAGTATTTATCACATAATTGTTAATCTAAGTATTTCTCTTACCGGAGAACTTTCCGGGCTTCTTATCCCTATGGCAGTTACATCTTGACTCTGTGTTTCTCCTACCCGGAGTCCTCCTCGACTCCTATTCCCACCTATCTTGCTTCCCTATTGGCCAACAGTGCTTTATTGACATATACACAGGACTTCCCCCATCATAGACCCTTTCTGTTACGTCAACTACAGAACAAATAAAAACAAAGTTAAACTTTTTTGCAAGATAAAGTATTCATGAGACTGGGGGCTGTAGTGCCCTCCACCCGACTGTGCCCTCTGCCACTGGACTCTGTTAGGTCTGAGAGGTGGTCCAGACACTCCACCATGATGAGAGTTTGCATGCTAGAGCACACCACCGCCACCGAGGTTGTCATCAGAAGTAGCTTAAGCCTCTGAGATGACTCTCCTTGGCTAGCTGGTTCCCACGAGTGCAGGAAGTTGGGGAAGCTGTTTTGCTGTGAAGGAGTCCTGGGAAAATGGATATCAGCTTGTGAAACCCAGCTACCCAGATCGCGAACAGCTATCAGTCTCATCCTCAAGCAGCAAGGAGCAGTGACCCCATGATGCCCTTAGATAGAGGATAGAAAGAGTTGATGCCACTCTTGTCTTCCCCAACACTCCACCTAACTATGTTGGGCCCAAAGAATTAAGAAATTACAAGTTTTCTTTCTCTCTCTGTCTCTTTCTCCCCTTCCTCTTATACCCCTACACCCCCACCCCTGTGTGTGGTACACACGTGTGCGTGTGCTCGTGTGTGTGCACACACATGTACAGACTTCTTTTTTGGCATATCAGTCCCATTTCAGACTGCTTACTGCCTAGTTCAGATAGGATATTACAGGTGACGAGGATATAAACGAAATTCCTGTTTGTAAAAAAAAGAATTCCGACTCCTGATCTCAAAAAAGGTTATGGTTCCTCCTTCCAGTAGATAGAAATTTCAATCATGTCTCTGTTTCCAGGATACCAAAGGTTCGTGTTCTGGAGGACGAAGAGGGGGCAAAGGACATCGAACTGTCTGACGATCCTTACGACTGCATCAGACTGAGTGTGGAGAATGTGCCCTGCATTGTCACCCTGTGCAAGGTGCGGGCTTGTCTCGTAGCGTTCTTGCCTTCCGTGGGGAGGTGGGTCTCCTGCAACCCTAGGCTGTTGAGATTACTTCATGGGTTGAGAGGTTGTAGTTGTGCAAACTGTACAGATGCAGCTTTAATCATTCGGTTACATTAGGCGCAGATGAGTCCCAGGAGAGGGCTGCTTCCTTAGCAGTCGGGATCTCGTGCTCCCTCTGCGGGCTCTGCACTCTGTTGCACTGTCCATTAACTCCTCCATCTCAGAGTCCAAGGGAGCTGGACACTGGTAGTTTCTCAAGCAGTATTCCTCTGTGGACCCTGATGTCCACACACAGGAGCTGGGGGCTTGGGGCCAGTCCTAGGTGTCACATGCAAGTACGGTTTTCACAGAGCCCAGAGGTTTCCTGACTCTGACATCCGGCATAGCCTCAGGCCTGTGTTGGCTGGGACTGTGACTAATTCCACAAGAGACTTCGTTATACAAAGACGAAGCTGAGCCAGGTACAGTGGCTCATGTCTATAATTCCAGAACTCAGTAGGTAGGTGGGGACAGGAGGATGACTACAAGCTTGAGACCAGCTAGTATGTGTCATGTACCTGGTCAGTTTGGCTGCACAACACAGACCTGTTTCAAAACAAAACAAAACCCTCAGTCACTTAATACCACTGGGAGTGTTTTGAGAACTGAGATTGCAAAGAAATGTTCACAGGGCATTGGGACTGAACAGAGCTCTGCAGGGTGGGCATTATTTTGCATGTCCCTTAGCTTGGCTTTCTAGGTTCACTGTTGGAGGGAACAAGATGTCATGTGGCCTCCCATACACATTTCTTGCCTCTGTACCCTGACTGTCTGTGCCCCCACACCCCTTGTTTCCATTTTGTCTTTTTATGATATTATTCACACAGTGGACCATGTTAGCAATGTTGGACATACCTTCCAGCATTTTCCAAATGAGCGGAATTTAAAATAAGATCTGGAAGGAGCCTTGCATGTACAGCCTCTGTGGGCTTTGTGTCAGGGAAATCTGGGATCTCTGGTCTACTGTTCACATGCGTGTTAAACGGCCCCGATCTTGCAGATTGGCTGCCGGCATGTGGTGGACGCCACACTTCAGGAGGAGGCCTGCTCCTTGGCCAGCTTGCTAGTGTCAGTGACCAGCAAGGGGGTCGTGACCTGCATGAGGAAGGTGGGGAAGGGAAGCCTGGACCCTGAGAGCATCTTTGAGATGATGGAGGTGAGTCCATGGTGCCGGGGCAAGCCTGGTTAGGGGAGCCTGCTGCTTCCCACCTCTTCATTATCCATGCGTCTTCCCCATTCACACCCAGGACCCCATTCACACCCAGGACCCCAGCTTGGGGCTGGGAGAGCAGTAGGTAGCCTGCCAGTGACTGTGTTTGTCTTCAGCAAGTCTCTCCTCCTCTAATCCCCAGTGTCTGCACTTTGGTCTGAGAATACTGACTTTGACCATGTAAAGAGTCATATAACTCTATCACAGGATGAGGAATTGAATTCTTCATCCAAAAGAAGTGTTGACGTGTTGACGAGAGCAGCACTAAGGAGTGGCCTATCACAGGTTCTTCACAACCTGGAAGTATCTGGGGGAAAGCTGGAAAGGGTCAGATGGGTGAGAAGATGGCTCAGTGATTAGAGTGATTGCTTCCCAAGATGAGGCCTGAGATCAAACCCCCAGTACCCACATAACGGCTCAGAGCGGTGCGTGCCTGCAATACTAATACTCGGAGGCAGAGACGAGTAGATCCTCATTGGCCGGCTATTGTAACCAGTAGGTGAACTTCACATTCAGTGAGAGACCATGTCTCAGAAATTAAGATGAAGAATGGTAAAGGGAGATACCTGATGTTGACCTGTGACCTCCACAAACATAGAAAAGGACATAATGGGCAGTATGCCTCGTCCCTTAGCCAGCAAGGCTGAGTCTCTGAGGAACAAAGGACATTCCAGAGAGCTGCATGCCAGGACTCCAGGCATCTAAGCTCAAGAGCACAGCACTTCTCATTCTTGTTATTAAAGCAAGCGAAACGTGGTGTGATGTTTACAGTTAGCCTAAGCACATACAAGTACAGCAAGGGAGTTCACCTGGTGGTATGTCTTAGGATCTTTGGTCATGTGAAAAGAGCCAAGAATATTCCTCCCGGGCCTTTCTTTGTCTTTCCCACAGAGATGGTGTAGACATGCCTGGGCATTTGCCTCGTGCCCTTGCTTTCAGCTGCATTCACTTACCATAGTGGATGCAATTGTCTATAGAAGGCCACCCGTGGGGAAAAGTCTGCACTCCGCTCCATCCACAGCAGCTCTCACACGCAGGCTTCCACACCCAGGTGTAGGCTGCGGAGACACATCTCCCAGGCTGTGCATTCCAGCTCAAGGCTACAGGCATCTCCTCCAGGGTGGGAAGGATGGCTGCCTAAGCTGCTCCCAGGACGCGAAGGGCAGGGTGGGGAGCTGGGGTTTCATCACCTAATACGTTGTCAGTGCCCTTCAGCTCTTGTTCTCTGCTCTTTGAGCAGCCTGGGCTTGGGTTTCTCTCCGTGCTGTTAGAATGCAGCAGGAGACCCACAGAAGACCCCTTTAGATAAGAGGAGCTCACACCTTCCCTTAGAGACGGAGGGCTCATCCCAGAGAACTTAGTGGGAAATCCAGGTGTGCTAAACAATAGCAAAGCTTTATCATGTGCTACATGCGAGGAACTGTTCTTAGCATTCTTCCCAATCCGTTATCCTCCACAGTTCACACTTTTTGAGATGAAGAACCGGAGGCATATAAAGGATGAGCAGGTCTCTCTGGAGTGCTTAGCTATGCTTACAGGGCTGTCAGCAGCTTAGGACCACCGCTTTGGTGGCTGGGAAATCAAAGCCTAGGTTTCCCTGACTTTGGGAGTGAGGTCTGCAAACTTGTCTCAAAGGAGCCATGGGGCTGTGGCTGTTCCTTTCAAACAAGGGCACAGTGGTTGGTTCAGTGAGAACCTCTCAGCACCTCTGCAGACTGTGGTTCTTGCTGTCACCTCTCACCTCATCTGCATGAATAATCAGACCACTTATTTCATAGAGTTGGACGTCTTTCTAGTGTAGGGTGTGTGTGTGGGCGTTGGGCAGGCTGGCAAGCAGGTGGGGGCTTCTGATCAGTCTGTGCCTTTCCAGCAGGTGACCTCTGTTGTAGTTGCTGGGTTTTGGGTTTTTATTTTTTCTTTCTTTACTCTCTGGTCTTTGGGGACCAACCACCCAGCTCCCAAATAAATATATGGCGTCTTATTATTTATAAAATGCCCGGCCTTAGTGTGGCTTATTTCTAGCCAGCTTTTCTTAAAATTTCCCATCTACCTTTTGCCTCTGGACTTTTATCTTTCTCTATTCTGTATACCTTTTTTTTAACCTCTTGTTCCATGGCTTGCTGTGTAGCTGGGTGCCTGGCCCCTGATGTTTTTCTACTCCTTGATCTTCTCCCTCTCCCTCTCCCTCTCCCTCTTCCTCTCTCCCTCCCTCCCTCCCTCCCTCCCTCCCTCCCTCCCTCTCTCTCTCTCTCTCTCTCTCTCTCTCTCTCTCTCTCTCATTTATTCTCTCTGCCTGCCAGCCCCGCCCATTTCTCTCTCCTGCCTAACTATTGGCCATTCAGCTCTCTCTTAGACCAGTCAGGTGTTTTAGACAGGCAAAGCAGCACACCTTTACAGAGTTAAACAAATGGAACATAAAAGAATGCAGCACATCTTGGCATCATTAAACAAATGTTCCACAGCATGGATAAATGTAACACATCCTCAACTAATATTCCACAACACTCTTCCCTGTCCCTGTCATCCTGCAGAGCAGCAAGCGAGTGGGCAAGGTGCTGCACATGTCCTTACAGAGCATTCTGCACAAGGAAGAAAGCCTGGGGCCCAAGAGGCCGAAGGTCGGGTTCCTGGGATGATTTGTCATCAGTCCTGCGGTGGACACTGGTTATTTCACTTTTTCATTGAGACTGGTTTGTATATATTTTTCTTAATTGTTAAAATTTTAAGTCAGCCTTTGTACATGTAAAAAATAAAGTCTATTTTGTGGTCTGGTTTGGTATTACGAGCATCTTCAGCTTTATACCATGATTCCATCCCATTTAGCAATCTGCTGCGGAGAATGGAGTTGAAAGGGGTTGCTCTCCTCCAGGGAGCTACCTGCTTTCCAATGTACAAGAGGATGATGCAAACCCTGAAATAAAGACTCTGTAGAAGCTAGGCGTGGTGGCATATACTAGTAACACTGGCACTGAGGAGGGTTTCAAGCTTAAGGCTACTTAATGAGATCCAGTCTCCAAAACAGATTCCTTGGAGAAATTGATTTAAGGAGATGACTTGTGAGTATTTTGTGAATAATTCTTTTTCTTCATAAAGCTTTCACAGTAAGAATCACAAGTTTAGGTGTGGTGGCAGCATCTGGGAGGTAGAGGTAGATAGATTTCTATGAGTTTGAGGCCAGCCTAATCTGCATAGTGAGTTCCAGCCCAGCCAAGGATACATGGTGAGAACCTGTCTCAAGAAAGAAAGAGAAGACAGACAGACAGATGCAGAGACAGATAAAGGAAGGGAAGGAAGGAAGGAATCACAAAACAATTCATTTTCCCTGCAGGTCAGGAATAAGTAAGTCATGGCCACAGAGGAGGGCCCAGGACTCCTGCCTGTGTGCCTGCCAGCCACAAAATCCAGGAAACCCTCCATTGGGTCAGGGACTTAGTGGCCACTGGAGTCCTTAGCCAGCCTTTCTTAGCATTCTTAGATTTTTCTTATTTTCATTTTGAGTCAGAGACTTACGTTGCCCTGTGATGCCTTTAGATTCCCAATCTTCCTGCTTAGGACTGGGTTTTGGACATGTTCTAGCCCATCTCACTCCACTCGTGTTTGAAATTCCTCTGTTTTATAACCCCTCCCTGATGTTTTTGTAAGATGACCATGTTTTATCAACATTATAACAGCTGTTTAAGGAATGGTGTCATTTGACTTACCAGCCAGCTTTTATTCTCTTAGGATAGTAAGAAAGATATTCTACTCACAGTGAGGCCTAATGGGATTAAGGTTTTATGGATAGAGGAGGGTTTTTTGTTTTTTGTTTTTTTTTTTTCCAGGAGGACCAAAGCTCCTAAATCAGTTTCATAGGACCCTTGGGAGGTAGCTGATTCATGGAGAACATCTCAGCCAGTAGTATTTCCATTCTTCATTGAGTCAGTCAGATGGGGTGAGGTGTTAGGAATTTATCACCTAATGGAAAGAACATAGTGTGAGCTACAGCCTTCCTGCATTATCTTTAGAGCCTGGGCATGAGCACCTCCCCTCATGTGACCAGATTCATCCATGCAAAGAAGTAGCTGGACTTTTGTATCCAGTGAAGCTGCTTTCCTGCTAATAGCATAGTTGTCATATTTATAATGTGATATATCATAGTTACATACTGGGCTTCTATCTTTTATTTTCCCAGTGCATGCTGCTACAGATGCCATGGCACCATGACACAGTGTTCCCAGCTGGGCAGGAGTCATCCTCTGCCCTGTGCCTAGTGTGTACCCACAAGGAATGATTGACAGTGGCAGTGCAGAGATGTCCCTCAGGTGTGAAGAAGGCACACAAGCCTTCAGTTCCATGGACTGCTTTCACTAAAATCCCGGAAAGAGGCCTACAGCAGGAAGCACTTTTTCCCCAGCCGGTCTTCTCGTGAGGGCATTTGTAGACTCAGGATGTGGGCTGAAGATCAGGTCCCAGCACCTTTGATGCTAGCCTGATGGTTTTCAATCTGCAGGATTCCCCAAACACTGCTGGGTTCATACCTTCCAAAATCCAAGACATTGTGTTGGGAAAGAGTTTGAGTTTAGACAGGCTGGAATCTGGGAGTCTGGAATCAGATGAGCGCAGACCTGAGCTCAGCATGCCCGTGTGTTTTTCTGGAAATCACAGTAAAGGAGAGCAGGAAGGCATCTTGCTCCTCAGCACTGCCCTGGCTCCCTGAGCCCTGCAGGCTACTAGCCGTCCCCCCCAGGCGACTCCAGTGTGTCCCTTGACACAATCCCCTTGATCCTCCTTGACATGATCCCCCGTGGACAGATGATTTTTATGGGAGAGGAGACAACTGCCAGGTGTCTCCAGATCTGGAATGTGGGACTCATGGTTGCCTTTCCATCCTCAAGTATTATGAGCCTCATGAAACCTGAGACCAGGGTGGGTAGTGTTGCTGTCCTCCCGAGGCCTATGCAACACAGGCCCAGAGACACAGGGCAGAGCCATGTGCTTGAACAGACGGCGGGGTCAAACGACGTTTGTGTCTGGTTCTGACTAAGGGTGGGACCACCCTTGCTCTCGTCTTGGAAATATACTCAGAATGCCCTGGCCTTCCAAGGAGGTATGGGGAGTCAGCCTCAGGCTAGGCCACATTGCTGCTGACTCGGGGCCAGCAGGACTAGGGCTGAAGGGAAACATCTGTGAGAGGTTGGGTCAGGGCCAGTTCCTTGCTGGGCCAGGGTTTTCATGTGTGGGCAGATGTGGGTGGGGTGCCCAGACCTTGCTTTGTCTAATTCTGACTTTTAAAAGTTTACAAAGAACAGGAAAACAAACAAAACCTGGCCCTGGAAAGCTTCTGTGCCCCTTTACCCTCTGCACAGGTTTCTGCCTCTAAGCTTGGTAAGATTATTCTCCGTGCAGGACATTTAACACAAGAAGACTGCCCTGAGGGTGGAGGACTCGGCACACACTTCCTTGGAGAAACATTAATCTGTCCCTGCTGAAACCAGCCCTGCCTGTCCTCCTGTGACACATGATGGGGACAATGTCACAGATCTGTCGTTGGTGGGGGTGAAGGTGCTGGGGCTCCCGACGGCCAGTCAGGTCCACCGCAGCTGGCTATACTGGTGCCCTGCACCCGGGTAGGGAGGAGCGGTGTGGACAAGAGGACATGGATGCTGTACAGACCCAGGGTCAGCATGGGTAACAGAGGAACCAGGGTTACAGAAGTGCAGGCCACACACAAGAGGCCCCATGTATAGGCTGTGTTCTGAGAGCTGCACCACTAAAGGTTTAGAAAAATCCAGGAAATGGGGCTGGCGTGTAGGGTGTGTGTCTGGAATGCGCAAGACTCTGGGTGTAAGCCCAATACTATGGTGGGCTGAACTGGGGTCAGGAAACTTAGAGGAACAGTAGAAAGAAAAGAGAAGAAGGCACCCAGAGAAGGGGCAGAGGATGTCCAGTTGCTAGCCTCCTGAACGACTGCTCCAGGGGCCTAGTGCCAGGGCCCCACTGAGTAATATTTTGGAGGCCAACCTCAAGCTTGCAGGGACATCATACACTCAGCAGGCTGGCTAATCTTTTCCAATCTGTTTCTTTCTCCTTCTCTCTCTGTGTAGTTCTGGCAGTCCTGGGACTTGTTCTGTAGACCAAGCTAGCCTCAAGAGATCCACCTACCTCTCGAGTGCTAGGATTAAAGGAATGTATACCACCACTTCCTGGCTGCCAACCTGTTCTTTAAGGCAGACTTGAGAGACAATGGGCCATTTCAACTGTGAAATCCACTGAAGCAATTAAAAACTGACAAGAGTGCTAAGTGGGTCTTTCTTACTTAGGGTTTCTGTTGCTGTGAAGAGACACCATGACCATGGCAATTTTTTTGTTTGTTCATTTGTTTGTTTTTGTTTTTCCAGATAGGGTTTCTATGTGTAACAGCCATGGCTGTCCTGAAACTCTCTGTAAACCAGCCTGGCCTTGAACTCACAGAGATCCAACCCTGCCTTCCAAGTGCTGGGATCAAAGGTGTGTACCGCCGCCACCACCATCACCCAGCCCATGGCAACTCTTATAAAGGAAAACATTTCATTGGGGCTGGCTTACAGTTCATTATCATCTTGGTGGGAAGCATGGTGGCATACAGGCAGACATGCTGGAGGGGTAGCTAAGCATTCCAAAGGCAGCAAGAAGAGAGAGTGACACTGGGCCTGGCTTGAGCATCTGAAACCTCAAAGCCCACTCCCTGTGACATACTTCCTCTAGCAAGGCCACACCTAATAATGCCACTCCCTATGAATCATTTTCATTCAAACCACCACAGGGTATATAAATAAGTGATATATGCTTACATTTAACAAAATGCCATTTTAACACAAATACACAGGACAGTGTGCTATTCACAACATGGATTTGGGGAGGTTTTTGTTGTTTGTAAATTGTTTTGAGCTCTTCCCACTCTTCCAGAGCACCTATCCCAGGCAGCTCACAACCACCTGTAACTGCAGCTCTGGGAGATCTGACGCCCTCTTCTGGCCTCCATGGGCAATGTACAAACCCCATACACATAATATATAATTTAAAAATAAATTGATTGACATTTGTATATATGTGTAGGTATAAGTGCTGTGGTGTGTGTGTGTGTGTGTGTGTGTGTGTGTGTGTGTGTGTGTGTAAGTCAGAGGGCAACCCAAGGGAGGTGGTCCTCTCCTTCCACCTTTTGGGTTCTGGGAGTCATACTCAAGTGATCAGGCGTGGAGGCAACTGCCTTTACCTGCTGAGTCTTGCTTGCTATTCCCCCAAGACTGTAATTTTAAGACATTCCTTGAGACAGGGTCTCTATAGTCTAGGCTGGCCTTAAACTGGTGGCAGTACTCCTGCCTCAGCCTCCAGAGTTTGGGATTATGTAATGAGTCACCATTTCTGGTTTTGAAATATTCTGAGGTTGTCACACTTGCCACTGGTGGGCACAGGTTTAAAGCTGGTCAATAAATTAACTTCCTTCAAAACGGCTGTGAAGACCTTTCTGTGGAGACACAGCAGATCTAAGTCTGGGAAAACCCCTAGCCAAGACACCCTCCCTACTATCCTAGAGAAGGCGTTTTTTGTTTGTTTGTTTTTTAATGTATACAGTGTTCTGTCTGCATGTATGCCTGCAGGCCAGAAGAGGGCACCAGATCTCATTACAGATCCTTACGAGCCACCATGTGGATACTGGGAATTGAACTCAGGACCCCTGGAAGAGCAACCAGTGCTCTTAACTTCTGAACCATCTCTCCAGTCCCTAGAGAAGGCATTTTTGTTTAGCACAAATGGAGTACCTTGTGCTTGCACACACACACACACACACACACACACACACACACACACACACAAGCCTTTCAGAGTCCTGTGAGTGAAATGACCAAGGATGTTGCCTGATCCTAAAGGTTCATTCAGGGCTCACTTGATAGATCAAGTCGGAAAGAGTCGCTTCTTGGGGCAGGTGAAGCCTTACTGTTAAACAGATGGTCCCTGGTGTGCCTCCCACACACAGCTGGGCCTTTCCCCAAAGTACGTTCTGGTCACAGCCTCCCTGTGTGGCTCTCCCATGGCTTCCAGTCTTCTCACATGGCTTGCTGTCTCCATCCGCATTGCTACCTTTCTGTCAGGCCCCTCCCTGTCCCCACAGGTGCTCAGGATCCAGGATGTACCTCCGTCACTAAGCTTACCAGCCTTTTCTCCTTCCTTGATCCCCACGTGGACCACCATCCCTATTCCTCCTCTGGCCTGGCCAAGCCCCCTATTGGTTGTCTTCCCTCCCTGCCTACTCTGGCTGTGAAGTGCCCAGTGATGACCACAGCAAACCCCAGGGCACAGTATGGATCTTGCCACGCATTCCCAGAATCTGTTATGGCTGTGAGGCACCATGGGCTTGCACAGTTCCCGATATGCACTGGCCCACTAAGGCCCTCTCATAGTTTTCATGCCAGGGACAACCTCCCCAGCAAACCTAAGGCAAGGCCTTAATAGGCATTTTTTTTTTTTTTTGGAAACAGGTCTTGTACTACCACATACTTAGGTATGCCCCCATTTCTTAGGTTGGCTATAATGGAGTCAGGCCAAGGTGAGGAGTCTGGAAATCAAAGGAGTTTTTGTTTGTTTGTTTTAACTTCCCCCTGCATTTTTCTACCCACCCAGTTTTCTTGGCAGCAAGACTCCTTGTTAGGTTATGCAATTGCCATCTACACTGAGGTTCCAGCTGTGAGTAATGAACCCTCTCCTGCTTCAGAAAGTGGGGGCGGTGCTCTTTCCATCAGTTAAGGGGCCCTGCATATGTCCTGCTTCCTGCCTCGCCCGCCCTTGACACCTCCACAGGTCACTGGCTGACCTTCTAGGTTCCTTCTCCTGGGTCTGACATCATGCTCCTCCCCAGCCAGATGATCAAGGCTGGTCCTAAAAGCAGGGAAAAGCAGATGACACAGTGCTGTGTGTTTTTGTTTTTGTTTTTTTGGGGGGGTTTTTTGTTTGTTTGTTTTTTGTTTTTGTCTATCTTTTTTTTTTCTTTTGAGACAGGGACACATGGGTTTTTAACCCCTGAACCTTCCGTCTCAGACTCTCAAGCACTATGATTACAGTGAGCACAATACGCTGTTTATCCTACGCTAAGGAACAAATCCAAGGGCTTCCTGCATGTTAGGCGAGCACTCTCCCAACTGAGCTACACCCCCAGCCCTGCATCTTATTTTTTAAAAGGTCCAATTCACAAAAAATTTCAACTACTCTACAAAGTACTTTATCCCCAGAAGCCATTTTTTTGAATGAGTGGTCCACCTGGGCTGCCTTGCTGCCTAACCCTGGAAGCATGCTGGAACATTGTTGGAGCTGGGGCAGGAACAGAAACACAGCTCTGCCATGGGTGCCCATCAGTTGCCAACTGCGTCCTTAAGTTTCCAAGGGTCCCGTTCAGAATGATTTCTGGCACTGAGTTGTGTGTCCACCTCCTTCAGCCTGATACGGACGCTAGTGTGATGTCTCCCGATCTACACCATCCCCAAACACCGCTGGGTTCACAACCACAGCTCCTTCAGGCGAGCCGTACCCCGCTGATGGGTCCCCAGCATTCTTCTAAGTGTTCTTGCTCTCTGGCAGTGGGACACATTTGGGCTCATTTCCTGCCCCTGGGGTAGAGTGTTGTATTCTGTACTTACATGCCAAGAGGACTCAAGGCTTCGGAAGATTTACAGCTCCAAGGCCCATCCAGGGCCAGCTGGGAGGCAGCTGTATCTGCATGCTTTATGTCAGCTACAACAGTGGATTTCTCTGAATGTGCTCATGTTCCCAGGGGCTCACTGGTAACTCTGCCTTTAACCGTACTCTGCGGGGTTCACTCCAGCTTCCTCCTTCTACATGTCCATACATCCCTTCTCTGAAATGAAACCTGGTTCCCACTATCTTTGGGAAGGTCGGCCTATGTCGTCTGTGTCCCCGTGGTCTCTGCCTCCGCTCTCCTGCTCGCACAGCTCTTCCTCCCTGTGCTCGGACTCCTGCGCTGTGGCAGGACCTCCATCTTTGTGGCACGCCTCACTCCACCCTGCAGAGCTGTGACGCCTCTCGCTGCACATCCAGGGGACATTACCCCTGCTCCCTGTCTGATACAGCTGCTCTGAGGCCGCCTTCCCTTCTCATCTCTGTCTCTCTTGTGACTTCAGGACAGGTTTTTGAGGGGGGAAAGAATGCGAGAAAAGGAAGGTCTATCTTGCATTTTTTTTTTTAATGAAAAGAAGTAACAAAATCACAAGATAACCTCAAGCATTCTGGACCATTAAGGCTGCTACACTGTCCCTTAGTGGCTGAGTAGCTTGCAGACACCCTTTACCCCACAGAGTCTCAGTTTCCTCAGCAAAATGGGAAGGTACGATTCTGTGGGTGCAGAGACTGACATGAGTCTTGCCTGAAATAATCACTGGACGGATTGAGCAATGGCAGCTATTGGCTGTCTATTGGAATCCCTTGAAACGCTGACTTTCTGGGAGGCAGGCCAGACTGCTGGGTGGCTGTCCACAGTCCTGTAGCTATGGCTCCAAAACCTTTCTCCTTTGGCAGGCTTGCTTTACTTTTTTTTTTTTCCTGTTTTGCATATCCTCAGCCAATTTTTCGGAGGGTTTCCAAGGCAGAGGTCCTTGTGTCCACAGCCTCAAGACGTGCCGCGCAGGCTGCAGTGACCACTGCTTTCGGGCCCAGGCATTGCAACCAGAAGCAGCAGTATGGGATTTTGGAGCACCTACCTGCTCGTCTGCCTCTTCTCCATCATGTCCCAGGTCACTACAGAGCCACCCACCCCCAAGACCAAGAAAGCTACAAATGTCAAGAAAGGTAAGCACCGGCCAGCTGCCCCTCCCAGCCCTCTAGGGGCAGCCTTCCCTTCATGTTCAGGGGGAGCAGTCACCCTCCCCTGCACTGTAGAGTCAGCTGCCCTCCTTGTGCTACCTCAGGCTCCTTCCCTTCATATCTGATTTTGATGAGTCCTCCTGGGATCTTTGGTGGGAGACCCTCTGGTGGCTGGGGAACTCTCACAGCCGGGATGGTTGTCAGAACTTCAAGAGTCTCCGACTCTTAGAATGGAGAATAACCTTATAGACTTACTCCCCCTCTGGCACCCAATATGTTAAAGAAAACAAGCCTCCAGCTTGGAGATGGTCAGTTCCCACAAGGGAGCACCAGCCTGGGTTTCCTCAACTGTGAGCCTCGGAGGGGTAGAATTTGCTGAAAGCCTTGCAGTCAACATTTAATAATGTAAAATATATAAAGCCCCCCTGGACAAGCTTTTGCTTGGCTCACGGGGGAAATGGGAGACAAACAGACTCTTAACTTCCATGGGGCATCAGTCTTATGACCTCAGACTGCTCTGAGAGCATCTCTGCTCTCCTCTGAGATGCTGAGGATGAGGTCATCCTGGGTGGGTGGAGATGAAACAGCAGAATGTTATGGCAATGACCAAGGTTGACACCCCTACAGGACAGGGAGGGTGACAGGAGACTCCCTGATGTGGAGACTCAGAGAAAAATAGCACCAGAGGCCAGCCAAGGGAAAGGGTGTGGAGAATCTACAGGCTCTCTGTACCTGGATCGTGAAATATAAAAATCAGCACGACAGCAAAGAACAGGCAGAACTCGGTTGGCCGGGTGCTTGCCCAGTGTCTGCAGGGAACTGGGTTGATCCCAAGCATGACACAGAACCCAGAGTAGTGGTGTACACTAATCCCGCACTCTGAAGCCCAGGCGGGAGGGCTATGCATTCAAGGTTATCTTCCATGTTGTAGCAGATTTGAGGCCAGCCAAAACTGCAGAATCCCTGTCGCAAAACAAAACAAAACAAAACAAAACTCCAGGAGTTGACAGCTTCCTGTGTGCTTTGTTGAGTGCTTGCCTCCTAGGTGTGACATCCTGTTTTCATCTCCAGCGCTTAAACAAACAGCAGCAAAACAAAGCTGGGGGTGGTGATCCATGCCTTCGATCTCAGAACTCTGGAGATAGAGGCAGGTGGATCTCTGACTTTGAGCCCAGTCTACGTAGGTGGTCTAGGCCATACAAGGATACACAGGGAGACCCTGTCTCAAAAAGCGACAAAACCAAATACCAAAGACTAAATTTACAATGTGAACAAAATTCAAAGCAGAATGGATACACATTGACATCATTCTGACAAAGGGATTTATCATGTGGAATATATGGAGAGGAATTCCACTAGCCTGAGCAATTAACATGTGCCAATAATTATTTCCAAAATTTGAATAGGCTGACTGAAAGTAAATATCTGTTGAGTATGTATAGAACTATTCCAGAATACAAATATAACAAACTACTTCCGGAAAGAAAAGCAAGGAGCAGTCTGAATTGGGAAAGATAATTTTTGGATGGTTTTGATTTATTCAATCAGATGAATATATAATGATTGTCTACAAAATGCTCACTTTATTTTTTTTATTTTTTGGTTTTTTTCGAGACAGGGTTTCTCTGTATTGTTTTGGAGGCTGTCCTGGAACTCCTTGGTAGACCAGGCTTGGTCTGGAACTCACAGAGATCCACCTGCCTCTGCCTCCCGGGTGCTGGGATTAAAGGCGTACGCCACCACCACCCGGCTAAATTGCTCATTTTAAAATAGGGGAACTGGATACCCAGCATGGTTCTGTCCACAAGCGTTGCCAGCATTGCCACTAAGGCATGTTGTGTGAAGGATTTAAAGGCAAACAAGATTTCTGGATATGGAAAGTGATTTCGAGTCTCTCAAGTTTTCCTCAGTCTTGTAAATCGTGTCAGTTGTAGGGAAAGAAGGGATCAGAACAGGGCTGCTTCCATCTTCAGTAATGACCACACACTAGCTCTGCTAATGCCCTGGTTCAGTTTCTGACCCACATTATCTACACGGTGCCCTGGGTTGGTGCTCCATATGAACCCATATGGAGCTCCATGTGAACCCAGAGTTCGAAGCAGAGGTACAGAGTGACCCTGGTTGCTGGATCCAACCCTATCTGCTTTGCTATTGTTCCTCTGGGTGTTATTTTTCCCACACATGATATTATATCACTGATTTTTGTACATGCAAGTTCATGCCTTTTTGCTTGTTTGTTAATCGCTTTGTTTGTTTGTTCGGTTGGTTTTGACACAGGGTTTTTTTGTGTAGCCCTGACTGTCCTGGAACTCACTCTGTAGACCAGGCTGGCCTCAAGACCTGCCTGCCTCTGCCTCCTGGGTGCTGGGATTAAAGGCATGTGCTGCCGCCACCTGCAAGTCCATGTCTTGGGCACAATTCTTTGGCAAAACTTCTAGTGGATGGACAAAGTCCACCTCAAGAATGTGGACTTTACATGAAATGACCCATGGAAGAACTCCCTACCCTTTGCCTCAAGCCACGCAGAGCTTTCCAAGAAACCCCTGAAACTTCAGAAAGACAGGGGTCCACTCACAGCTCTCAGTTCACACACACACACACACACACACACACACACACACACACACAGTGTCCCTCATCTGCTGATGCACTTGTCATTCATCCACACAGGCAGTTCGTATCAGAGATGTCATGTACCATTGAGCAGACAGGAAGTGTGTGGCTCTGTGGCTACTTGGATCAGGACTTTTGGCTAGCTACCATCCTGAGCAGGTCACTTAAATCTGGCCTGAGTTTCCTTGTTTGTGAAATGGTGACTCTCCAGGATGGTTATTTGCCCATGGCCCGTGGCATGGCTGAGGTGCTGCACGGCAAGCCCCAGGTTGCTCTCTGGGAAGTGGCTCCCTGGGTGAGCACGGGCCCTGTGCTATGTCATTTCTCCTCAGTCATTTCAGAGTGTTAGTATCCTCTGTACCTGTGTCACCTCTGTCACCCTCCACTCAGACTGGGGCTTGCTGTCTCTGCTTGGTCCTTATACTTGGCTTCTGTGATTTTATGACCCATAAACAGAGCAGATGAGGTGGCTGTTTCCCCCAACTCCTGCTAATCCCAAACCCACCATGACAAATGCAGGATAGGGAAGCCTGGAAAGGAACCGGGGACAGGCAAAAGGGGCCCACTGGAAGGTCAGATTCTCAGGCAGTGGGCAGAGACGGAAGGAACATGGAGAGATCTAGGCTGGGAGACGAAATTTCCCCTCGTCCCTTTGGGGTTGCCAGACAGGGAAGGGAGCATCTGCCTGCCTCAGGTTTTCATTGCCTTATGCCTCTCTGTCCTAGATCTGGTGAGCCCAAAGATGTTTGAGGAGCTCAAGAGCAGGCTGGACAGCCTGGCCCAGGAGGTGGCCCTACTGAAGGAGCAGCAGGCCTTGCAGACCGGTGAGCACAATATGACCGTGTGGAGGAACACTCCCAGGAAGGGGTCAGGCCGGTAACGGGCATCAGCGAGGAAGAAGGCTCAGTTTCCAGCCAGCGCCAAGCTCACGAGGCCCTGTCTTCACAGGCTTCCTCGGGGGAGGCTGCGTAACCCACACCTGTTAAGACCCCCCCGCAGTCAGGCACAGCTGTGTGTAGTCACAGCCAGAGGGCGTGGAGGTGGAGAGCTCCAGAGGCCAAGAGGGACTCCCAGCAGGAACCTACCACTGCTCAGTGGACTTGAGAGCTCTGGATCAGGGTCAGGAACTGTAGTGTAGCCTAGGCCAGCCCCAGGGGAGCTGTATTTACTAGTCTCACAGCCCTGGGACACACCACCCTTGCCTGATGCCCACCCCCACTGTGTGTCTGTAGATCTACAGATGGTCTCTAAATCACAGTAACCAGACCAGCATTTGTCAGTCCCAGGGTAAAGATACACCCGCTGATGGGAGCTGGAGAGACGGCATGGCAACTAAGAACGCTAATGCTTTAATAAAGGACCAGAGTTTGGTTCCCAGCACCACGTCTTATGACTCACAACTGCCTATAACTCCAGTTCCAAAGGATCTAACACTTCCTGTCCTCCTCCATGTGCATTAACTCTCTCCTCTCTCTCCTCTCTCTCTCTCTCTCTCTCTCTGTGACACACACACACACACACACACACACACTTTAAAAATAAAAATGAGGCCAGGCCTGGTGGCACAATCCCAGCATTTGGTAGGCAGATTCTGAGTTCAAGGCCAGCCCATCTGTCTGCAGAGTATGTTCCAGGCCTGCCAGGGTCATACAGTGAGAATCTATCTGAAAGACGAGACAAATATTAATATGATAAGTCAAAAATAAAATCCTGGAGCTGGAGAGATGGCTCAGTCGTTAAGAGACCTAGCTGCTCTTCCAGAGGACCTGGGTTCAGTGCCCAGCACACACATGGTGGCTCACAACCATCTATAGCTCTAGCTCCAGGGGATCCAACGCCTTCTTCTGTCCTGAGGGCAACCACACACACACATGGCGTGCACTCACACAGACATACACACATACACACACACACAAAAAAACTTTAATAAAAATAAAATATTTTTAAAAAACATAAGATAGGCTAACTGAGGGAGAGGGAGGCCCACAGTCGCCCTGCTGGGGAGTGGCAGAGCAGGACCAAGGCCTCAGAGTTCAGGCGCCCTAAAGGCCAGGAGAGCCAGCCTCTGTTTTCTTGTTTGAGGTAGCTCAAACAGGCTGGCTAAAAGCACAGAGCTTTGGGACCAGGCCAGTCCTCCTTCGAGTTGGCTGTCCCTCTCACCATGGTCTCCATGTAGTATCTCTCTTCCTACTCCCCCTGTAACGTGCTTCAGTTCCGTGGTGTGCCGTGAGCATGCCATGGGCGTGTCTGGCCCCGATCTAGGTCTATGAGGCACCTGTGTGATGGGTGTGCTACAGAGCCCACAAGCAAACACTTCTGTGAGGCCTCGTTGTCAAATCCCTCAGAGACATGGGGATGTTTCTCTAGAATATTCGCTGAGTGAAATGGCTTACGTGCATGGGGTAGGGGCCAATACACACCCCTGACATACGTGGCCCCACAAGAAACAGATACCCCACCTGCCCCATGTTATGTTAGAAATCAAGCTAAACACAAACCACTACACCAAGCTCCCGTAAGTCCCTTCCTCCTAACCTGAGAGGCCAGTGTTCCCCTGAGCACTCTAGTTCAGAATGCCGTTCTGGAAGAGCCTGCCTTTCCCGTTCGGTCATCTGCCGCGATGTTCCACAGTCTCAGCTCATTCTCCCAGCTCCACCCGACCAGCCAGGGACCCGGTCTGGGCAGAGGTCTCTGTGTTGATCCCCCGTGGTGATTTAGGTGATAAGTACCTGGACTGTGATCTCCATCATTTCAAATAGGCAGATGCTTGGCAATACTGAGCTAGTGACTTGATCCTAGGGAGGGGCCCGGCGATGGAGCTCGGTGTAGGAGACTCTGGCTAGTTGGGGAAGCTGCCTTTGAGATGCAGGGGACTGAGGTCACATGCCTGGGGAGGGTGACGAAGGAAGCAGACCCAAGAGAGGCTAAGCTTAGAATAAGCCAGGTGCCTACCTCTGTGGCCCAGGGGACTATCCTGCCCTGGGCAGAGACCAAGTGACTTTTGCACTCCCTTCCTCCCTGGAAGTCAGTGACCCTGGCTAAGGAGCCCTTTGCAGCAGAGGGGTGGTCACTCCTGGAGCAGGGCACCAGGTCATCTTGAACAGTGATCTGAGTCCTTCAGTGTCTGCCACAGCAGGGTCCTGAAGCCGGGGGCAAGCAGGTTTCGAGCGATGGATGGGATGGAGGCTGGGGGCAGTCTGGAAGAGGTCTATTTGTCCTGGGGCACCCGAAACTTAATGTGACAGCTATCTCTCCTTGCAGTGTGCCTGAAGGGCACCAAGGTAAACTTGAAGTGCTTCCTGGCCTTCCCCCAGCCGAAGACCTTCCACGAGGCGAGCGAGGACTGCATCTCGCGTGGGGGCACGCTGGGCACGCCGCAGTCGGGGCTAGAGAACGAGGCCCTGTTCGAGTACGCGCGCCAGAGCGTGGGGAGCGAGGTGGAGATCTGGATGGGCCTCAACGATATGGCAGCCGAGGGCGCCTGGGTGGACATGACCGGCGGCCTCCTGGCCTTCAAGAACTGGGAGACGGAGATCACGGCGCAGCCTGACGGCGGCAAAGCCGAGAACTGCGCCGCCCTGGCCGTAGCGGCCAACGGCAAGTGGTTCGACAAGCGATGCCGCGAGCAGTTGCCCTACATCTGCCAGTTTGCCATAGTGTAGCCCAGCCTGGCCCTGAGCGAAGGGGCGCAGCCTGGGCCAGGGAGGAGTGAGGACCACGAAGAGTCACGGCTGTAGGCGGGTGGGGCTTATGGGTTGCTAGGGGGCGGGGCATCTATGGGCGGAGTCGAACTTCAGTGGGTGCCTGGTGGTTCCTGGTAAGAGAAAAGGCGATGCCAGGGCCCTGAGAGGGGCGGGGACAGCTTTCTGTCCTGGGTTCCCCCTTGTCTGGGTTTTGCGAATAAAGTTGGTTCAGAATCCCTGAATTTGACTGGTCGTCAGGTCAGGGTGGGGAGAAGAACCCAGGAGCCTGGCCCCTAACCCAGGAGAGCCTACATTTCCAGTACAACACACACTCCAATTTTGGCGGGTGTATTTGGGGCACGATCCTTTCTCTTGTTGGGGCATCCCATCTGTGGATGCCCTGACACGCAGAGGCCGACTGTAGGGTGAAGGATGAGCGGGTTGCCAAGGCTTCCCAGGGAAATTACTGTCTGCCTCTATCCTAATCCCAGGGGAGCTGGCCCAGGAGCCAAATCTGACAGTTTGTCCCGCTCCCTCCCACTCCATCACAGAGCACCACTGTGCCCACCGTATTGCAGGAGCTTTAAATACATAGTCTGGTGTAGTTTTATCCCCCCGGGGCAATCTGTGTTACTATGTCTTCCGGTAAGGAAGTCCCAGCATAGGGAAGTTCAGTGGCTCCAGCCAATGAAAACCTAGTGATTGCAAAGCCAGGGTTCAACCCTGGACTGATCCCACAGGCCGGAACCTTACCACCACCATTACTTACTGGTCTGGCTGGCATGACCAGAACTCTCCAAAGATGAAACACAAGTAGCCTAGCGCCTCCCTTTCCCCAAGTGTCTAACTGATCTGGCCTACGCCACCCCTGTGGACTCAGCTCTGTTACTGTTTCCTAATTCCCTCAGCACAGCCCTTAGTCACTAGAGGAACCTTCCCAGCGCCTTCTGCTTCTGCATAGGCCCACAGTTCCTCGCCATCAGTCCCACACCAATGACAGTGCAATTTGATTGACTGGGATGGGAGGCAGCCCGTAGTGAGTTGTGTACCCCACTGCCAGGCTTTCCGTCACTGGGTTATTATACGGGATACAAAGTCATGGGCAGGGCGACGAGAGCCATAGCTGTTAGTGTGGGAACATTCAAGGGTGTGCTTAGGATGGCCAGCCAGCAGGGCAGCTGACACTAAGAGCTCTGACCCCAATAGTCCTGGTCAGATTTCCTTAATAGTATGTTTCTCCCAATAAGTTGTGGGTCTGGGTAGAAAGGCAACCTGGAGGCTGGGCAGTGGTGGCGCACGCCTTTAATCCCAGCGCTCGAGAGGCAGAGGCAGGCAGATCTCTGTGAGTCCGAGACCAGCCTGGTCTACAAGAGTGAGTTCCAGGACAGCCTCCAAAGCCACAAGGAAACCCTGCCTCGGAAAAAAAAAAAAAAAAAAGGCAACCTGGACAGGCAGACAGGCAGTAAACCTTGCCTGCTTCCATCAGAAGATGGCAGTGTGGGAGAGAGAATGATTTCCTGCTCTTCAGTCTGGCTGGACCGGTCTTGGGTTTAAAGCACCTACGCACTGCAAATTCGGTCCACCTGTCCTCTCAGCTCTGTTTGTTTTAGAAGAGATCTCATTGTGTTGTCCAGGTGGACTTTGAGCTCCAGGGTTCATGCATGAACTCCTCCTGCCTCAGAATTCTTCACCACACCCTGCTCTTCCCATGCACAGGGTATAAAAAGCTCTAGGTTGGACATCAGAGGGACACTTTGAAAGACTCGTAAGATCCATTTTGCTAATTCAGTACTTTTTGTTTGTTTGTGTTTTCCAAGACAAGGTTTCTCTGTGTAATGTTGGCAGGCAGATCTTGTGAGCTCAAAGCCAGCCTGGTCTACAGCGTTCCATGACAGTCAATGCTATAGAGAGAAATCCTGTCTTGAAAAAAACCAAAACAAAACACAATTCCATTCAGAGTTTGTAAGGGTTATTTCCGAGGCCCAATGTCAGGTAGCCAGCAACTCGAGTAAGAACATGGTTTATCAGTTAAGTTGGAGATCCTGGCCCAGCCCTCAGAACACTTCCCTCCTTCTCCAGTAAAAGGCACTGTTGTTTCCTGCAGCGTGGACACACAGCTGAGACAATCTTAAAATGAAATTTGCCACAGGGGAGGTTAAGCTAAGGTCTCATGGCTAGCTCAGATGAACCCTGGGAGTTTCTGTTTCCCGTGGAAAGCAGCAGGTGCAACGTACTTCTCCAAACAGCCCGCTAGCCTAGACCTGGGTCCTGCTACGGTCAAATGCCCACCTTGCTTTCTCTACCCAACTCAGCCAGCTCTTAAGCCATCACTGTGTGGAGGAATTCTTGGATTTTGAAGTTTGGAGACCATGGGAGGGAGGTTGGTTTTGGCCCCAAGAGTTGTTTCTGTGTTGTTAAGAGCTAAGATGGGCCGGGCGGTGGTGGCGCACACCTTTAATCCCAGCACTCGGGAGGCAGAGGCAGGCAGATCTCTGTGAGTTTGAGGCCGGGATGGACCGACAGCCTCCAAAACAATACAGAGAAACCCTGTCTCGTAAAAACAAAACAAAACAAAACAAAACAAAAAAAAACAACAACAACAAAAAAGAGCTAAGCTGGGCTAGAGAGATGGGTTACTGGTTAAGAGCACCAGCTGCTCTTCCAGGAGTCCTGAGTTCAATTCCCAGCATCCACATGAGTGCTCACAACTAACTGCTTATAATTATAGTCCCATGGGATCTGATGCCCTCTTCTGGTGTGCAGATGTGGGTGAAGACAAAACACTCATACATAAACAAATCTTAAAAAAAAAAGCTAAGCTATGAGGTAAGAAACTGTTTTTTTTTTTTTTTGGATGATGACAGGCAAGTTTAAACACCAGGTCAATAGCAAGGGAGATTTTGGTTTGTTCTAAATGCTAGAGTTTTTTTTCCTTCTAAAATTAAGTTTTATTTATTTATTTATTTATTTTTGAGACAGGGTTTCTCTGTTTAGCTCTGGCTGTCTTGTATCTTGCTCTGTCGACCAGGCTGGCTTCACACTCACAGAGCTCAGCCTGCCTCTGCCTCCTGAGTGCCCGGATTAAAGGTGTGTGCCACCATTGCTGGCCATTAGAGTTTTTCTTTTTATTTTTTTTAAAGATTTATTTATTTATTACAAATACAGTGTTCCATGTATGCCTGCACACCAGAAGAGGGCATCAGATCTCATTCTTAACTGAGTAAACAATGAACCAGATTTTCAGTTACTCCACAGTAACTGCCCTGGAAGGAAGTCCAGCTCTGCAACTTTCCCAAGTAGCCCTGTGACTTTGGGGGAAGACGCAGCCACAGAAATGTGGTTTGTTCCTTCTGCACCATGTTCAGTAAAAACAATGGGCTACTAGGACCAAGCTCAAAGGCAGGGTCAGCCAAAGTAAAAAAAGGTTGTCCTCCAGCCTCTGCACATGCAAGGAGTGGCCAGGGGCACTTCGGGGGTGTGGAGTGGGTCCACACAATGAGTGCAGGACGCAGCAACCACAGAACATACCAGGCAGAGTACAACAGAGGGGGCAAGGGGAATTATTCCCAGCACCTGCCTCCAGCGCCCTCATGCGCTTCCTTCCCACAGGGGACCGACCCTCTGACCTCACAGGAGATCCAGGTGATGCTGTCCTCACGGCCTGGGCGGTCTTCTGCATGTCAGATACCATCTGAGAACAAGAGTAGCCAGAGTTGGGACCCATTTTCCACCATGTAATGCCCTGACGTTCGCAGTTCTCTGAGAGCTGATGCTCATGTGAATTGGGGACATAGAACCCAAGAGTCAGAGGTGGCGGGGATGGAGGTTGGGGGAGACGGGGAAGCAAGCAACCCTCCCCCCACCTGTCCCCAAGGTGTTTTGCAGTTTAAGCATAAAACATACTTTTTTATTTTTATTTTTTTGGTTTTTTCGAGACAGGGTTTCTCTGTGGCTTTGGAGGCTGTCCTGGAACTTGCTCTTGTAGACCAGGCTGGCCTCGAACTCACAGAGATCCACCTGCCTCTGCCTCCCAAGTGCTGGGATTAAAGGTGTGGGCCACCAATGCCCGGCGAAACATACTTTTTTTAAAAAAAGATTTATTTATTTATTATTAATACAACATCCTGCTTCCATGTATGTCTGCAGGCCAGAAGAGGGCACCAGATCTCACTACAGATGGTTGTGAGCCACCATGTGGTTGCTGGGAACTGAACTCAGGACCTCTGGAAGAGCAGTCAGCGCTCTTAACCTCTGAGCCATCTCTCCAGGCCTCAACCATACTTTTTTGTTTGTTTGTTTGTTTGTTTGTTTGTTTTTCTCTGTGTAACAGCTCTGGCTGTCCTGGGAGGAACTCGTTTCATAGACCAGGCAGGCCTCGAACTCACAGAGATCCTCCTGCCTCTGCCTCCTGAGTGCTGCTGGAATTAAAAGGTGTGTGCTACCACTGCCTGGGCAAACCAATACTTTTTAAATGTCTCCAGGTCATACTTTCTAGGTAGAACGATTTGGGGGGTGTTAATAGTCTAGCACTCTCTCTCGGTGTTTCTATCCAGTATTTGTGAAGCACATTTCTACTGACAGTTGATAAAACTCAGAAGGTTCTAAGTTAAGAAAGTTCAAATCACGTTCCACACTCGGCTGACAGGATGGCAGGACAGGCGTGGGCACGTCTCCCTTGGATGTCAGTGTGTGCAAAGTATTTTGCCTGGCGTCAGTCCCTTTGACAATTGTTTCTGTAACTTTGCAAGGTGTGTGCTGGGAGGGGCTTGCCACTTACATAGGGAAAGAGGCCGTGATTCTGCCGGCACTGAGGCTTCTGGGTTTTTGACAAAACTCTTAAGAATAGAGATTGCTTTTCTTCAGGCAGCCTGTGTTAGGTCAGGGCTGTCTGAGCTCTGCCACACTGGATTGTCTCAGTCAGCTTCTCTATGTGGAAGCTCATATTGCAGATGTCTACCCAGCAGGCCTGTCTAGAATGTTCCTCACTTTTCCCACTGCCCGCTCAAGATGGCTGCACCACTGGCTTCCCTGAAAGAGGTATTAGAAAATGAGTAGGGAAGGGCTTCCTGACGTCAGATGGCAGCTCACAATCGTCTATAACTCCAAGGTCTGACCCCCTCACATAGACATAGATGCAGGCAAAAAATTAATGCAAATAATAAATTGTCATTATAAAAAAGAAACTTGTACCAGGATCAGCAAGATCAGTCACTTAAGATGCTTGCTGCAGGTCCTGGGATCCGAGTTTGATCCCTGGAACACACATATCAGACAAAGAAACGACTCCACAAAACTTTGTCCTCTAATCTTCACATAGGTGCTGCGGCACGTGCTCACTTAGCCCCACACCTTCACACAGATTAATAACAAATCAAGACATTTAAATTGATAAAAAACAAAAACTTGCACCACTGACTCCAGAAACATAAGTCCTTTTAGATTTCTTTAATAGATCCTAACATCTGTGTCTGCCACCTCCAGGGAAGTGGTCTGGGCTGCCTTTGGGCAGTAGTTGGGTACAGCAGTAGCATCAATGTCTGAGCTACATGAGACCCTGTCTCAGGAAGAAAAAAAAACAGTTTCGGCTAAGAACCCTTAGTGCATTTTACAACTCAACCATAATCCCTATTCCACTCATTCCTCTGGAAGTAAGGTTGTCTCAGTGTTACTGGCAGCAGGGCCCACAAAGCTCAATGTGATTGACTGTGCTGCTGCCCAGCTGTTTTCAGGGATCTCTGTCCATAAGAAACTGTGATCTTTACTGACACAGAAGAAAAGAGTTTCAGGAGGAACTGGTATGCAGCAAAGCTGGGACTCCTCCTCCTCCTCCTCCTCCTCCTCCTCCTCCTTTTTTAAACATGAGCATCCCACATAAAAGCTGGGACTTCTTAAGTCAAGCGTGAGTTTATCGAGTAAAAACATTGTGGGGTCTATAAAGAAAAGGCACATACAGATTTAAGCACCGGAGTTGCTGAAGGGCTGCCTAAGGAAAGGACAGCAGCATACACCTAAGGGTTGGGAGTGGGCGTCTCCAGAGAGCTGCAGTCTTGAGCTATTGGACAGCAAACCTGTGCAAAATGGAGGGTGTGGTGATATCTTGCTTGTACAAATAAAGCCTTGTCTGAGGGTCAGAGAATGGAGCATGCCACTAGCTAACCATAGAGGTCTGGAGGTCTGTACAGACAGACGGGAAGTGAGGTAGCTGGGTGGAGACAGGATATATCAGGGAGAAACAGGAACTTGCTCTCTGGTCCTGCTGAGACGCTAAGGAGGTGAGGTATGGCTGTGGCTTGCTCTTTCTTCTCTGATCTCTCAGCATTTTCCTCTATATCCGACTCTGGGTTTTGATTACTTAGACCAATTAAGAACTCAATTTACAGGAGGGGATATTATTATTTATGTGTTAAAGTGGGGGGTGGGCAAGGTGAGGAATTCTGGGAGTGGGATTTCCCAGAATAGTGTTTCCTAAACTTTTCTGTACTATTTAGTTTTATGGTTGTACCAGTTGCATGACGGGAGCAGGTGGTTCTGCCAGGCTAATGCTGTGTAGATCATTATGAAGCAAAGAACAGAGGCTCTGGTGGTTTGGATAATAATGGCTCCCATAGGCGCCTATGTTTGAGTGCTTAGTCATCAGGGAGTGGTGCTACTTAGAAAGATTAGGAGGCGTGGCCTCGTTGGGGTAGGTGAGTGTGTCACTGGGAGTGGGCTTTGAGGTTTCCAGAGTTACTCTCTCCCCCTATTGCCTGTTTGCCTGTGGATCCAGGTGTAGAACTCTCAGCTATGTCTCCAGCACCATGTCCGCCTGCCACCATGACAATGAACTAAACCTCTGAAACTGTAAGCAAGCCCCAGTTAAATGCTTTCTTTCATAAGAGTTGCCCGCGGCCATGGTGTATCTTCACAGCAACAGAACATTGACTAAGGCTGTGTTCTAAGTTAGTTACATTGGTGCCAGCTGGTTTGGGGTGATGGTCTTTCTTGTAATGACTCTGACGTTGCATTAACCTGTTAAACTGGGGATGTAGCTCAGTTGGTAGGGTGTTTGCCTTGCATTAATGAGGCTCTGGGTTGTACCTCCAACACTGCAAAAACAAAACAAGCTGTATGCCAAGACTGTATGCAGACTGCTTCTTGTTATTTACTGGCTCAAGGAGAGCAGCTGGCAGAATGGAATGAGCCTTGCCTTTGGGCCACTCTTGGCAGATGAACAAGCAACTGCCACTTTCGCAGTTCCCCTCCTGCCCGCCTCGTGTGCCTGTACACTTCCTCCACAGCATGTTATAAGGCAACTTTTCTGTCACCAGCATCAAGCTTGGGGGGTTGCACACCACGGGTATTCAATAAGAGTGACTGGAAGTAACTAGGTTGAACCAGATGCCCAGAAGAAAAATGTCCCTTGCTTTATTGTCACCAACAATAAAACTCTTTGTGCAAACCAAAGCAGATGTGATGCCATGTTCAATTATTGCTCAGGCCTTGGCAAGGATCTGAAGGTAAAGTTTGTTCAAGAAATCTATGCTGGCAGCAATTTTAGCAAAAGTGAGATTTTTCATATTAAAAATCAATGTCCTTGGCTTGGAGGATGTGAATGACACAACGTTTTTTCTTCAAACACGAAAACAAAGGCTTTGTTATCTCAGAAGGACTTTGTTATCAATCCTTGTCTGGGTTATTTAAAGTAACCCAATTGAACATAGAAGTGACTGGACACCAGGCATGTGACAATTTTATCTTCATTTTTGGGAATTTTGGTTTGGTCATGTCTGTCACAGAGGCTGTCATTACCGAAGCATCACTGAGTTACTTTTGGGGCAGATTCGAGGAGATGAGGACAAATTGTCTCTACAGTACATACTTCCCAGCTCTCTTCCTTCAGCAGGGCCTGAGAGATCATCAGTAAAATGGACAGTTTGGTCATGAAATAAGTCTTTAACATGCCTTTTGATTTTAGATTTTTTTTAACTACACAAGATGAAGGGCAATGTTAGCTAATAGCAAAATTTGTATCTCGTTTTCTCCCTAATTTTATTTTAAATTATGTGTATATGTGTCTGTCTTTGTATAGGTATGTGCACAGGTGCTTGTGGAGGACAGGAGAGGGCAACGGATCCCTTGGAGTCCCAGGCACCTGACTGGGTGCTTTCAAGGCAAGCTCTGGTCTTCTGCCAGAGCAGCAAGTGCTCTTAACCACTGAGTCATCTATCTCTTTTCAACCCTTTGTTTTTTAACTGGAGTGAAGGACCTGAGGTTATCAGGCTTTAGGCTGAATACCCTGGTGACGTCCTGAGCTCAATAACCAGACAGATGGATGGAAACCACAAGAGGTTTATTGTTCACACAGGCGTCTGTGGGCAGATGCAGCAGCCTTAGCTAACTGAACGAGCTGGGCTTTAGGACAGTTTTCTTTTTATATACATACTTTTGGCAAGTAAAGCAATAAGGGTATTGTAAGAAGTGGAGCTACTGTAGGTGTAGATCTGGGCAAGCAATAGGGGTATTGTCAGAAGTGTGGGCATAACTCATCCTCCCTAGAGAAACCACAAGGTCAAGATTAAACTTATATTAACGGCCTGCCAGTGTCCTGCATCAGCACTCTGGACCAGATGTTCTTTTCAATTCGACCTTGTTCCCTGTCTAGGGGAAGGGACATTGGGGAATTTTCCACTGAGGCAACCTTCTGAGTCTCAAAAAAAAGGGGGGGTGTATTGAGGTTTTTCAGAGATTTAACGTAGAACTTAGTGTGTGCAAGGCAAGTGCTTTACTTCAGTTTACACACAAGTAGCTGGGGTTGTAGGCCTGGGTGAAAGCCTGGAGATTTAAATGAAAGACAAGACGTCCGGCCGTTTGTGCTAAGAGAATGCGTGTGTGCGTGCGTGTGTGCATGTGTGTATGTGTGTGTGTGTGCATGTGTGTGTGTGTGTGTGTGTGTGTGTGTGTGTGTGTGTGTTTTATTGCAAGGAGAGAGCGGCCTTATATACAGACTTACAGCACAGTGGAAAAAACCCCAGGTGTAAGAGTTCTTGTTTTCATAACTAGAGGTTGATGCCAGTGCAGCAAGGCCAGGGCTGTAAGCCAGGACTAGAAAACAGGATGCACCCGTGGTTATTGGCTGACAGGCAGCTCAGAGACCCCGTGGGGGCTGGGGCCCAACAGGCCTGTACCAATAGGCCTGGCTCCTGTTGGTACGTTTGTTGTTGCTTGTTTGATTTTTGTGTGGGGGTGGGCATGTTCCAGATTGACCTGGAATGTTCTGTGTAGCCCAAGCTGATCTTGAATGTTGTGATCCTTTTTGCCTCAGCCTCTCAAATGCTGAGCTTATGGGTGTGAACCACCAGATTTAGTATTCGGATATTTTTAACTTTTTTTTTCATCTGTATATTCTCACAGTGAAATGTCTGTGCTTCTTTTTGTTTTTTGTTGTTTTTTTTTGCCAACTTTTGACTTGGATTATGGCATTCATTGATATATTTTGGGGAACAGGGACTTCCTGTGTAACCCAAGCTGGCCTGGAGCTCTCCATGTAGCCAATGCTGTAACTCAAAATGCTCTTGGGACAGCCTCAAGAATGTAGGGCTTTCCTCCTGAGCTGAGGCCAGCCCCCCTGCTTTGCTGTCTTTTTCTCTCCCACTGTATTTTCTCCATCTAGGGCTCCCTGTGATTCATGGCTCTCGGGAGCCCCTGATTGTTCCCCAGGGGACTGACTGGACATCATGCAGGTTTCTTTGGTGATAGCTCCTCAGAGGGATTTCCCCCAACTTTTCTCTCACCCCAGCGTTCGCTTACATGATACAATGCATTGTACTGCCTGTGATTTGCTTTTTGTTACTGCTTATTCCGGTTTTTCAACTCTACCAGAAGCCCACTGCTTTATCTCCGGGGCCTAGTTAGCGCTCCGTAAATAATTCACTGCCTGGAAGGATGAAGAAGGGATGAATAAATGAAACCCTAAATGGCACACTTACATGTCTTTGGTCAGGTGCTCATTCTGACTTTGAGCGCCCCCTCTTGGGAAGCTACGTTTACTCAGGAACAAGGGTCGTTGTGAATCAAAACCTAAGGATGGGACAAAAAGATGGCGGCCATGAAGACACGAAGAAACCAGTACAGGTGGCTCAACACTGGGAAGCTCCTCCTGGAGCGAGAGCCTTCTGTGGTTCTTGTGGGTTAGGAGAGGGAAATAGTTTGCTCCCTGTGAGTTCCCTTTTTAAAATGAGGTCTTATATAACCTAGGCTGGACTTGAACTCCTTCCCTAACTTCCCAAATCCTGGAATTATTGGCGTGTACCTCACCTGGCTTCCTCATAAGTTCTTAAATATCCACACAGCCACGGCACTCACTCCCAGTAAGATCTGGTCATAGGGGCTGGAGAGACGGCTCAGAGGTTAAGAGCACTGACTGGTCTTCCAGAGGTCCTGAGTTCAATTCCCAGCAACCACATGATGGCTCACAACCATCCTTAGATCTGGTGCCCTCTGCTGGCCTGCAGGGATACATGCAGACAGAATACTGTATACATAATAAATAAATAAACATTAAAAAAAAAAGATCTGGTCATAATCTGAATTCCTTACAGCTTAATAAAGTTAAGACAAAATTAACCAACCTAACAACTTACCAATTGGTTTTCAAATGAGCAGTCTACTCGGGCCCAAGCAAGAAGCCAACCAGGTGACACATTCCCTTTTTTTTTTTTTTTTTCTTTTTTGGTTTTTCGAGACAGGGTTTCTCTGTATCATTTTGGAGGCTGTCCTGGAACTAGCTCTTGTAGACCAGGCTGGCCTCGAACTCACAGAGATCCCCCTGCCTCTGCCTCCCGAGTGCTGGGATTAAAGACTTCGCCACCAATGCTCAGCTGGTGTCACATTCCTTATGCAACTCTTTCTTTGGTGTCTGGGATGGAGATGAATTCTTTTTTTCTTTTCCCTTTTTTTTTTTTTTTTTGAGACAGGGTTTCTCCATGTAACAGCCCTGGCTGCCCTGGAACTCACTCTTGTAGGCCAGCCTGGCTTCAAACTCACAGCGATCTGCTTTCCCCTGACTCCTGAATTCTGGGATCAAAGTCCATGAATTCATATTTCTTTGACAACTTTAAATTTTGCCTAAATCCAGTAGTAACTTCATGTATAGTAAGCTACATGAACAAGAGAAGGGGAGCAGGTCAGCTCTCAGTTCCATGGCCCTTGTTTCTAAGGCATCTGACTTGCTCTAAGGCTCTAGGAACCGAGGCTGTGGGGCCCTGAGTTACTGGGCTGAGAGACGCAGCACTGGGATGTTTTCCCACTCTGCCTCGTAGTGATGTGTGGTGAAGAGGAAGGCCCCCACCATCACCAGGGCTGATGTAGCAGGCTGGCCACTCCCAACAGCCTCCCTCTTTCTGGTTGTCAGGATTTGTCCTGTGACTACCCCTCCCTTTCCCCAGCATCCTAAATTCCCAAGAAAAGCCAAACCTAAACGATTAAGATGTTAACTGATGATCTTTTTAAATAACCAACGAAACCCAATATCTCTGGTGATGTGCTGCTAATATCAATATGTGTCCTGTTCTGGATCAGCTAACACAAATCAAGCGCGTGGCTAAGAGGTCGAATGTGTGGAAAAGTATATCAGGGGAGTCAGGGTTAATAGGACTGTTCCAGAAGGGGAGGAGGGGTGGAGATTAATTTCATGTATCTCAGTGTGGCTTTGAACTAACAGAGATCTGTCTGCCTCTAAGTGCTGGGATTAAAGGTGTGCACCACCACGGCCTTGCCTCTATGGCTGTGGCTATTCTGATCTTCAGGCAACCTTTGTTAGATCATAAACAAAATATCACCACATTTCCTCCCTTTTTTTGTGTCTAAAATAAAATAACCCACATAAGAACTATATACAATAAGTACAATAACTATATACAGTCTCTACAGGCAAAAAGTATATCAACAATGTCTAGTTCATTTGCATTTGACAATCTCAGAGAAAATAACTCCATTATCTATCCTATCTTGGTGAGTCTAAAGTCTTGCACCTAATCCACTTTCTAGTCTAACTTGTACTATCAGATTACCTTTTAATGTCTCTCAGACTTTACACTTTACACCTCTTTAGTGAGTTTCTTTTCTGACTCTGGTAAACAGGGAAAACTGTAATTATAACTATGCAGTCTTCAACTTCCTCAGAGACCCGTGAAGGAAATAATATCTGAGTAAGCAGGAAGTGCAAACAAGTAACTTCCAAAAAATGTTGAGAAGTGACAGACACAGCTGGCTGCCTGGACAGTCACCCAGGCTTCCTCTGCAACGTTGGGGCATCTGTCTTTGGCCTATAGGCCTAGCATATCTGACAAACTTTTCTGTGAAGCAGGACTTTTGAAGGACTGTCCTACCTTGTCTTGGCAAGGCTTAGCAGTCACTCTCTTTTGTGTCCTGCTTGTCCAGTTTGCACAGCGTACTGTCAGCAGTGGAGGCAAGGGCACTTTCTATATGGGTTTCTTCGATGCCCCATCATCTTCTCTGAAGTAGATTGGTGTTGCCAGGAGCAGATGTGTCTCATTGTTATAAAAAAAAAAGGAATTTATGTAATTGAAACATCTTAAATGCCATATTCTGTAGATCTCTAAAGTGTTTGAAGACCTGTCTATCTAAAATATATGTTTGACCTTGTAGACATACCTAATTTAACTACAAATTCAATTGTGATAGGTGACTTGTTACTAACCTGGAGTTGGGATAACTAAAGATAATCACCTTAGTCTATCTGGTTGCTTTTAACAGAATGACTGAGAATGGTTATTTTGTAAAGAAGGGTTTATTTGGCTTGTGGTGCTGAATGAAGGCTGGGCATCTGCTCAGCTTCTGTGATATGTAAATATGTGTAGGTGTATATGCTCATGTAAATGTGTAGAGGCCAGGAAACAGTGGATTTCCTCAAGTGTCCCTTATCTTTTGAGACAGAGTCCTTCACTGGCCTGGAACTTGTTAAGTAGGCTAGGCTGACATTCCAGTGAGCTACCGAGTTCCACCTGTCTCTACCTTCCCAATTCTTGGGTTATAGGCAAGTGCCACCATGCCTAGCTTAAAAATCTCTTCTTGGATCCCAGCACTCAGGAGGCAGAGGCAGGCGGATCTCTGAGTTTGAGACCAGCCTGGTCTACAAGAGCTAGTTCCAGGATAGGCTCCAAAGCTACACAGGGAAACCCTGTCTCAAAACAAAACAAAACAAAACAAAACAAAACAACAAACAAAAAAATCTCTTCTTGGTAAATGCCAACTCTTGGGACCAGGAAGGTGTCTCAGTTGGCAAAATGCTTACTGTGCATTTTAAGGATCTGTGTTTGGATCCTTGGTACCTGAACAGAAGCTGGGCACAGGGGTTGGATAGATGGCTCGGTGGGTTAAGGTACTTGCTGTTTTAGAAGAGGACCGGGTCACTTTCTAGCACCATGTGACAGCTGTCAAGCACCTGTAACTTCACTTACAGGGGACCTGATGCCCTCTTGTAACCTCCATGGACACCAGACACCCACAGGGTGCACGTTCATACATTTAGACAAAGCACTGACACACATAACATAAAAATCTTAAGAAAAAAAGGAGAGCTAGGCAAGTGACATGTGGCTATAGTCTCAGCACTGGAGAGACTGGGACATCCTTGATGCCTACTGCCCAACTCGTTTAGCTAAATCGGGAGTCCATTTCCCGTGAGAGATCTTGCCTTAAAAAAATTAACTGTGCCAGGTGTTGGTGGCACACACCTTTAATCCCAGCATTCAGGAGGCAGAGGCAGGCGATCTCTGTGAGTTCAAGACCAGCCTGGTCTACAAGAGCTAGTTCCAGGACAGCCTCCAAAGCCACAGAGAAACTGGGTCTCGAAAAACAAACAAACAAACAAAAAAATCAGTTGCATCTCTGGCCTGACTCACTCACTCACTGTCATGGCCACAGACCTCAAAATGGATAGCAGAATGTAATATTTTTTTCCCCCTGCAATGTAACCCAGGCCAGCCTTAACTCACAAATTCTCCCTCAGTCTCCTGGTGTGGGATTACATGTTTGTACTACCATGCCTGGCTAGGACTCACTCATTTCAAACAAAAATATTTGCTTCCCCCAGGGCATGGCATCAGATGAAGAGGGAAGAGATTGCAGCACCGATTCTGATTTTCCTCTGCAGTAAATCCTTGGTGAACAATGGAAAGGGAATCCACTTAGCCCATGTGGAGCTTGTCATAAGAAATCACTGTGAACAGGGACCTTCATGGAAACAGCACAGATGTCAGCAGCATTAAACAACTGGGTATGCATTTGTTTTGTATTATCTTTATTTAAAAAAAAGTATAGGAAATGAATAAGATGTTATCAAAAATGTCTCTACATTAAATAAATTATTTTCAGGTATGCACTGCAGATCCACTGAGCCTGATCCTCCAACCTGTACTGAAGTTACAGCTGATGGACCCTGGCTTGTCCCCATGGGAGAGTCAACCTTTTCCCTCCATATGCAGCCACAGGCCCAGCCAGTGGGTACAAGGGTTTCCTGGGCATCAGCAGAGTCAAAGCAGAAGTCGGTGGAGAGCCCCGCCCCCAGCATGGTGGAGGGTGGTCAGCACTGTGGGCTGCGGGGAAGGAGTTGGAGGAGGAAGCCTCAGAAAGGAAAGATGCACAGGCAGGCCCTCAGATGTGATTACAAAGTGAACCCTCCTTTCTGGAGAAAACTCAAGAGGCCCTGGAGTTCAAACCTTCCAGGAGCTGCCCAAGTGCACTGCCTCGGTGGACCACGTAATGGGCCAAGCAATGAGACGCCTTTCTAAGGTCAACTCCCTGAACACGATGAAGCACATTTATTTCCCGAAGGTTTACCAGAGACACTGAACTCTGTAGTGTGCTAAAAACTATGCTCCACTGTTTTTCATACAATTCGGCGGCGTCAATTTCCAGCCCCAAGCACATAGCCTCAGAGTAGAGGCAACATACATACATACATACATACATACATACATACATACATACATGCTTTGTTTTGGTTTTTTTGAGACAAGGTTTTGCTGTAGACCAGGCTGTCCTGGAACTCACAGAGATTCACCTACCTCTGTCTCCCAAGTGCTGGGATTAAAAGTGTGTGTGCACCACCACTGCCTGGCTTATTTATTATATTTTTAAAGGATCAAGTTACTCTCAAAATTTGTTTAAATGTCAAAGTATTGCTGCAGCTGGGAGAGCCACACACCACACAGGAAAACTCAAGGTAGCTGCTCTTATTTCTCGTAGCAGGGGACAATAGGATCTGTAATAAATTCTACAGGGGGACAGCTGTATGCAGCAAAGGACTAGGAAGTTTCTCACTGAGTGAGAGATAACACGCACGTGTGCATACACGCACATACTCTTCTGGCTGGGTAGGCCATCAGTCATCCCTACAGGCACACGTTTATCCATCTAGTGGTCCTCGGAAACCAAAACACAGCCACCCAGACCAGTTAGCATGAGGTCAAACCAGTACGCTAGATCAAAGGAGCTTCGCTTATGTTCTTAAAAGAGGGTCTTAAGTACACACCAGGAGGGTTTCCCAACTCACTATGCACTTGACGATGACCTTTAAATTCTGATCCTCCTGCCTCCACCTCCCCAGTGCTGGGATTACAGGTATGCACCACGCCTGGTTTTGTGCCTTGCTGAGGATGGAACCCAGAGTTCTGTGTGTGTTAGGCAAGCATCCTATCAACTGAGCTACACCCTCAGCTCCACTTGAGACATGCAGACCACCAAATAAATACTACTACTACTACTACTATTACTACCAGTTATATAAAAAGCACATTGCCATTTCCATCCAGAGGACTCCAGTGAGAGCAGAGACCCCCAAGTGGAGCTCCAGGGAATCCGCTAAGTCTCTGCTTATCATTGAGAATCCAGGGCTCATCGTAGTCCTGTCTGGGTGGGCCGTGTCTCTCTTCTGTCACTGCGGCCAGCCCCAACACAACCTGAGTTCAGGAAGACCTGAGCTGTTAGGATGCATCCCCATCAGAAGTCATGATTTACCCATCACTGGGAGGAGTCCACCAGGAAATCAGGATTTGGTGGGACAATGCAAAAGCTACTTCTCCCTTCTAGTGGATTCTTCTCCCACCTGACTTCCTGTTTAGGACTTCAGCTTTGCGTGTCTCAATGCCTGGTGCCCAGGCATCTCAGCAAAGTCTTTGGAATGGGGCCAAATTATTCTTCCGTCTCCACCGGCCCCTGGATGTTGAGTAAGGGGATGTCTGTCTCCCTGACACCAACCTCTCCCTGGTTGGGGTGTGAAAAAGTGTAGGGTTCACTCTCAGACTCGGGGGGGCTACTAGGGGCTGGCTCATCTGCAGTGAACTTTGCAGTCGGGGTCCTGGAGAATATAGGGGGTGGGGATGGGGGGCAGTCCCCCATGGCGCCCTGGAAGGGCCGGTAGGTGTCCACCTCCGGCTGGATGAAGGAGCCACCAGAGTCCTGTAGCAGGTGCCCATATACCATGGTGTCGTCGATGACCGCATACACATGAGAGTCATTGTCCTTTCTTCTTTTCTGGAAATTTTGAGTCTGGGGTATCTGGGTGTTGACATTGCCATTGTAGATACCCACAGCTGGGCCCTTGTTGACCTTCTTCCTGTTTGTAGAGAGTGACAGCAGAGTATGTCAGAGAAGCAGGAACGTAGGGCTCCTGGGGCTCTAACCGTCCCTCCCCCGACTCCTTGAAGTCTACTAGCATTTGAAACCGAAACTGTCTAGGGACTACTGGAAGCAAATAGCTTTTGTCTCAGGTTTCCAAGGGTGGAAATCGAGGGATCGTAAATGGAGGAGGTGGTTTAGGTGAGTTTGTTTTGACTCTGATAGACTTCAGGGAACCAACCAATGGAGATGCCTTGCAATTCCTCCCTCCCTCCCTCTTTCCAGTAATAAGTATGCACAAGCATTTTCTAAACCACATCAGCTCAGCATGCCCAGGCCAGCCTTCCAGAACATTCAGTTCCACCCTGTACTACTGCTGCTGCTTCTCTTGCAGAGTGAAGGTCCTTAGCTAATTCCAGTTAATATCCATGGCTCAGTACAAACTGGCTAATTTTCTGCTGGAGCTGAGGTCAGAACAGCACATCATTAGCTGAGTGGCTCTGTCCCTGGTCCCATCAACAGCAGCCACCAGCGGGGGTGGGGTGGGGGTGGGGATGCTAATGTGCGGACAATCCCGGATCTGGGGAACCATTAACTCTGGGTGTGCGGTATTCAGATGTGGACGGTTGTTGGCAGGCATACCTTGGGCGCACAGCTTTGCCTCAGTGAACAAAGCAGCCCGGACTTAGACAATAGCTGACTCAAGGAGGTGGCCGGCCCAATTAGTAAAATGGGCTGCAGAATGCAAAGGCAGCAGCTCACTAATCCTGGACTGTGCTTTTGTGTGGTAAAAGCCCATCTGGTGTTGACCGGCTCCCCAGGCTCTCCAATGACGCCTTCAGCGGATGTCTCTCCTTCATGAGCTCACGGGGCCTAGCTTTTCCCTCTGCACGTGGATAGTAGAAAGGACCCTTGCCCCTAGTTTATCCCCAGTACATTCATGGGACTTAGTGCCAAGGAGACCCTTAGCAAACACCCAGAGCAGGAAGAAGTTCAGTGTCACTGATTTCTCCTGTTCTTGTAGACTCCCCACCACCACACACACAACTTAGAGGCAGGGACTTCACACAAGCACATCAGACAACAGCCTCATGCAGCTGAAGACCACAGGAAAGACTCCTGTGCTGGCAAGTGTCAGGTCTATCGGGAACAGTTTGGAGAAGGAGACGAGATGGCCGGACTCTTCCTCTTAACCAAATCCCTCCGCTCCATGAGGCATATGGGGACTCTGTTAAAAGCATTACCACTGAGTGGGAAATGCTGTGTACCCCAGACAAGAAAGCTTCCTCCTTTCCTATGTAGTAATGTGCATTTCACTGTGAAAGACCCCGGCCCAGCGCAGGCAGCTGAGGCTTATGGAAAACTCCTTTCCCCCACAGCTCAGCCATTTTTTTTTATCAGGAGGGAGCTCAGCTCAAGGTCTTCGCAGCTGAATAGTCACTACTATCTCTGTCCAGATAGGGGCACAGGTGTCTATGGTCTGCATAGCCAGCCCAGAAAGATTGGGCAGGCACAGAAACCTTTTGTTCTTCAGATAAGGCCAAGGCCGAGAATTGAGTTCTGAGAGAAACCTTAATTGCCTCTCTGTCCAGATGAGAGAAACCTCGTTCTGAGCCCCAGCCTCATTTAAATTACCCAATCAGGGTCCCGTAACTAGGCTTCTCGCTTCTGTACTGCGCTTTTTGCTATAAAAGAACCCCTGAGTCCCCAGCTCGGGGCTCTCAGTTCCCGAGACTGAGATGCCCTGGGTACCCGTGTATTATCAATAAAGCCTCTTGCTGTTGCATCCAAGCTCGTGGCCTCGGTGTTCCTTGGGTTCGGGTCTCCCTCCCGTGAAAGTCCCCCCGCCTGGGGTCTTTCAACTGGAAAAGGCTTCTCGGATCAGGAAGGAGCTGGGCATTCCTCAACAGTTGGACATTAAAAAAATTATTTTATGTGCATTGGTGTAAAGGTGTCAGATCCCTTGGAACTGAAGTTACAGACAGTTGCAAGCTGCTATGTGGGTGCTGGGAACTGAACCCTGGTCCTCTGGAAGAGCAGCCAGTGCTCTTAACCAGCGAGCCAACTCTTCATTTGGACATTTTTGAAACAGTCAGTCCTGAGGTCAGATCCCCAGCATCCATGTGATGTCTGGGTTTGGTGGCATGAATCTGTAATCCCAGTGCTGGGGAGGAGGAGACAGGCAGACTCACTGCTGAGGAGGCCTAGTGAAGGACCTGTTTGATGCCCCAGGATTCACATGGTGGAAAGAGAGAACTAATTCTCACCCACTGTCTATGACCACCAAACACAGGTTATGTCATGTGGCCATGAGCATGCACATATACACGCACATACAAATAATACAATGTAATAAAGATAATAAAAATTTTTTAAATTTTTTGATTTTGACGAGAGACACCTGATGTTGTCCTCTGGCCTTCACAGTATTGCTAGGTGTGTACACACATATGTGCCACACACACCTGCACACTCACAAAATTTTTTTCTTTTTCCTTTTTTTGGCTTTTCAAGACAGGGTTTCTCTGTGTAGCTCTGGCTGTCCTGGAAGTCACTCTGTAGACCAGGGTGGTCTCGAACTCACAGAAATCTGTTTGCCTCTGCCTCCTGAGTGCTGGGATTAAACATGTACACCACTACTGCCTGGATAAAAAAATTTTTTTCTAGAAGGTTCAAATCATGATAAAGTAAATGGAGATTTCTTCTCTGATGTTCATCAGGTATAGAAGAATTGATGAAGTCTGATGTCAAAGCAGACTTTATTTGTCCTGGGACCAGGATGTCACTGTGTGCGTATCCCTCCTCACCCTCTGAAACCATAATTCACCCTTGGTAAGAATATTTAACATTGATCTTTTCAGGGAACTGGGAAGCAAAAAACCCCAACATCATTAGCATGAATAAACTGGGTGTGGTGACACATGCCTGTGATCTTAGCATACAAGGAGGTATAAGAGGAACAGGAATTCAAGACCAGCGAGGGACATAAGACCCTGTCTAAATCTAACTATCATCCACCCATCATTCCATCCACCCATCCATCATCCACCCATTCTCTATCCACACATCATTCCATCTATCCATCCATCCACCCATCAATCTATCCATCCATCCTCTATCCACCCATCCATCATCCATCCATCATCCACCCATTCTCTATCCACACATCATTCCATCTATCCATCCATCCACCCATCAATCTATCCATCCATCCTCTATCCACCCATCCATCATCCATCCATCATCCACCCATTCTCTATCCACACATCATTCCATCTACCCATCCTCTATCCACCCACCCATCTCCATTCATCCATCCACCCACCCACTCACCCACCCACCCACCCACCTATCCATCCATCCATCCTCTATCCACCCATCCATCATCCACCCATTCTCTATCCACACATCATTCCATCTACCCATCCTCTATCCACCCACCCATCTCCATTCATCCATCCACCCACCCACTCACCCACCCACCCACCCACCTATCCATCCATCCATCCTCTATCCAGTCAGTGTGTGTGATCCAAAGAGGCATCAGATCAGCCAAAGACAGCTAGAGAGATTCCACCTACTTCTTTTTCACAAAGCAGATGGTGAGTCCTAGGGCAAACAGCAACAGGGCTCCGCCTCCTGCTGCACCAATGATGACAGCCAAATCTGTAAGCAGAGATGGGAAGGCACAGGAAGAGACAAGAAGGTTAGCATAAGGAAGAGCTTGATAAGTCTGCAGCCCCCAGCTTCTTCCCTTCTAACAGAGAGGCTAGAAACCGAAGGTGAGTTGGCTTGTTCTGAGCATCATCTTTTTTTTGGGGGGTGACAAAGGGGTCTGGGTCCCGAGCCAGGGTTTCTCTGTGTAACAGCCCTGGCTGTCCTCGAACTTGCTCTGTAGATCAGACTAGCCTCAAACTCACAGAGATTTGTCTGCCTCTGCCTCCTGAGTGTTAGGGTTTACAGGCATGTGCCACCGCCTGATCAGTTCCTAATCCCTCTTAATGCCACTATCTTTTAATACAGTTCCTAATGTTGTGGTGACTCCCAACCATAAAAGTATCTCATTGCTACTTCATAACTATAATTTTGCTAGTTATGAATCATAATGTAAATATCTGATATGCAAGATATCTGATACGTGACCCATGGTTGACAACCACTGGCCTAAGCCAATATAATTTGTAGTTTGTATGTAGTACTTAGATACATGAAACAGATGTGTGTGTGTGTGTGGTGGGGGTCACCTACTATCCACCTATTGGCTACTCTTGGCGGCTTCCACCAGGTATGTTCCCTGGTAACCAGGGTGTCTTAGAGAAGGAGCAGAGGGGACAGTAGGGACTCAAACATCAGAATGAAGGACAAGGTCATTCCATCTGAGTTGTCCTTTCCCGTACTGCATGATGGAAAAGGAGCACCCATCTGAGAAGGGGCTCTATGCCAGACGGGGATTTAGGACTCCTCGCTCGCCTAACAAGAAACAAAGGATTCAGAAGACACGGTGACACAATAGGACATCAGGGGAGGAAAAAAGCCCAAGTGGTGATGTCAGAGCTGGGAGTTCTTAGCAGTGGTTTTTGGTGAGCGCTCTCTCTCTCTCTCCCTCTCTCTACTTCCCAAGGCCTCATATTTTAATCCTCGTTACTGAATCCCCATGATTCTTCCTTCTCCTTCACTCTACAGATAAAGATCATAGGAGTAAAGAGAATTCAAAATTCCCATGCATCATGGGGTCAAGAGAGAATGGCAGCAAATTGACCAAAAGGACCCAGGGGAAGCCAAAGAACGTGGCAGAAGGTGTGGTGTGCACGCTCCTTCTATGCTTCCTTTGGTGTCTTGTGCATTTCTCAACAGGGCCAGCTATGCAGTGATAGCCAAGTAAGCTCAGTTGTAACACATGGCTTTGGCTGGGACTTTTGTGAGTAACAGTATATAGCCAAGATCAGCAATGTCTTGTAACCAACCTGTGCTGCCTGAAGATCAATGAGTGAGTGAGCCTGATAAGCCCAGCTCAGAACAATCTTGCTTAGTCAACATGTGAACAACAGCAGTAAATGCTATACCACAGGTGACTGATATACCATTAGCTAGGACTCGATCTGTTTTTTTGACTTGCCTCTGAAACTTGCTCCCTGCCCCTGAAATGCCAATTTTCTTCCCTTCACCATCTCTGGGAGACTCTGAAAAGTCCTTACCCACAGTCCTTGGGGTAAGAGTCACCCAGAAAAGCAGGTCTAGCTGTTTGCCATTCATGGGGCTGCAGTTGGAGATGTTAACCCAGAAGTTGTGACGATGGAAACGTGGCTTAGGCAGCACTTCCTCCTCTAGGCTGAAGATCTCCTCTGCCCGGGTCTGGGGCTCCTGGATGATCATGTATGCGCGCCCCGTCTGGCAGACCACACCAGAACGCTCTTTGAAGAAGGTCAGACAAGCCACTTGGTTGCTAGGCACACTGATGTTCCAAGACACCGAGGAGAGGGCAGGTAGGCCACGGTCCCAGTTGGGGGTCCTCAGGTAGACCTTGTTTTTTGTGTCTGGAGTCACTGTGAAAATGCCTTCCTCTGCAGGGAAGGAGAGAGTTTCAGACGGATGATGTTGTTTCACTCAATAAAATGGAAAGAAAAGGGGGACAGTGTGGGGTGATGGGGGAAGTCCTGTGTATATGTCAATAAAGCACTGTTGACCAATAGGGAAGCAAGATAGGTGGGACTAGGAGTCCAGGAGGACTCTGGGTAGGAGAAACACAGGGAGTCACGATGTAGCCCACCAGAGAAATAAGATGTCCGAAACTTTGCTCCAGTAAGAGAAATACTTAGATTAACAATTATGGGGTAAATATTTAAGTCAGAGCTAGCCAGTAAGAAACAAGCAAGGCCAACAGCTTCATAATTAATACAGCGTCTTGTGTGTTATTGGGGACTACAACGCGGCAGAGCCCAGGCGACTGGTCGGGCAAAACCAGGAAAAGGCTTCTCTCAACAGTGGGGGATGCTTAACAGATGCCATCCAGCTTTCTGCCTTAAAAGGACATGTTCCATGTTATGACTGTTCAGTAGGCAGCCATTATTCATGTTGAGCACTCACTATGTGCCTGGTTTGACCAAGTGGCATAGTCAGCACCTCAACTTTCCCCCATGGCTGTACACTACAGGCTCAGTCACCAGTCCATAGTGCCACTAGGGGGGTGATAGAACCTTTAAGAGGTAGGGTCAAGTAGAAGAAACTTAGGTCATGGTGTAGAACCTTTAAAGGGTAGTATCAAGTAGAAGGAAGTTAGGTTATTGTGTAGAAAGTAGAAGGAAGTTAGGTCATAGTGTAGAACCTTTAAGGGGTAGGGTCAAGTAGAAGGAAGTTAGGTTATGGTGTAGAACCTTTAAGGGGTAGTATCAAGTAGAAGGAATACAAAAAAAATTCTATATATTTTAACGTCAATGGATTGGTGAATTACTCTTTTTGTTTTTGTAATATAAAAAAATTCTATATATTTTAACATCTATGGATTAGTGAATTACTCTTTTTGTTTTTGTAATACAAAAAAATTGTATATATATTTTAACATCAATGGATTGGTGAATTACTCTTTTTGTTTTTGTAATACAAAAAAAATTGTATATATTTTAACATCAATGGATTGGTGAATTACTCTTTTTGTTTTTGTAATTCAAAAAAAATTCTCTATATTTTAACGTCAATGGATTGGTGAATTACTCTTTTTTTTTTGTAATACAAAAAAATTCTATATATTTCAAGTAGAAGGAAGTTAAGTCATGGTGTAGAACCTTTAAGGGGGAGGTCAAGTAGAAGGAAGTTAAGTCATGGTGTAGAACCTTTAAGGGGGAGGTCAAGTAGAAGGAAGTTAGGTCATGGTGTAGAACCTTTAAGGGGTAGGTCAAGTAGAAGGGAGTTAGGTCATGGTGTAGAACCTTTAAGGGGTAGTATCAAGTAGAAGGAAGTTAAGTCATGGTGTAGAACCTTTAAGGGGTAGTATCAAGTAGAAGGAAGTTAAGTCATGGTGTAGAACCTTTAAGGGGTAGTATCAAGTAGAAGGAAGTTAGGTCATGGTGTAGAACCTTTAAGGGGTAGGTCAAGTAGAAGGGAGTTAGGTCATGGTGTAGAACCTTTAAGGGGTAGGGTCAAGTAGAAGGAAGTTAGGTTATTGTGTAGAAAGTAGAAGGAAGTTAGGTCATGGTGTAGAACTTTAAGGATGGGAGTCAGGTAGAAAGAAGTCAGGTAATGGTGTAGAACCTTGAAGAGTAGGGTCAAGTAGAAGGAAGTTAGGTCATGGTGGTGGAACCTTTAAGTAGGGAGATCAGGTAGAAGGACATTAGGTCACTGGGAACATACCCTTGAAGGGGCTTTTGGGAACCTGTCCTTCACTCTCTCTTTACTTTCTGATGGCCAGGAGGTGAGCAGCCCCTCCCATGACACATTCCTTCTATAATGTACTGCTCCAACACAGACTTCAAAGCATTTGGACCTGCTAAGGATGGCCTCCAGTCTGAAACTCTGAACCAAAATACACTCTTCCTGCATATAAATTCATCATCTCACGGCAATGGAAAGCCAGCACAACAGAGACTCATAGTTTTCATTTATTTAACATGGATTTTGGTTTACGTAATCACATGTGATTATTGTACTGGTCAGTGAAGGATACATCTTTTTTGTTTTTTGAGACAGGGTTTCTCTGTAGCTTTGGAACCTGTCCTGGAACTCACAGAGATCCGCCTGCCTCTGCCTCCCAAGTGCTGGGATTAAAGGCATGTGCTACCACCACCAGCAGGATACATCTTTGTTAGACATCAGAACAGTTTTGCCAAATAAGTGTTCTCAGTTTCCTTTCAGTAATGATCCCAACAAGGCAAACCCCCTATCCCACTCTGCTGTGGGAGTGGCATATATCTGTGTCTGTCTCAGAGAACAAAAAATGCTTCAGGTTTGGGAAGAAATCTAGAATTGCAAAGTTGAAAGAGCTTCCAACATGCCCACAGGTCTGCTGTGTGCTCCAGCTGACATAAGATCCCACATTCTGTCCTGATGAGGATTCCCTGGTAACCTTGGAGATGGCAGGCAGCCTGGGTTGACCTTACTCTATCTTCAAAGATCCATTTCTTTCCCACTATGCCACTGAAAAGCCTCAGTCAATTTTAAAATGACCTCTAATTGAACATAACCCTTCTTTCAGCAACCCACAATGGCGACTGTGACTTTTGCCATCAGCTGCATACAGGTGACTCCAGAGAGCCATTTAGACCTCATTCTCTACCTCAGGATACTGCAGACCTTACCCCCGCCTTTGCCGTGCAGAAGAGCAGGACCCTTGCACCTGCCACTTCTTCCCCCAGCAAACCCCCCTCTTTTTTTTTTTTTTGGTTTTTCGAGACAGGGTTTCTCTGTAGCTTTGGAGGCTGTCCTGGGACTCACTTTGTAGACCAGGCTGGCCTCGAACTCACAGAGATCCACCTGCCTCTGCCTCCCGAGTTTTGGGATTAATGGTGTGCGCCACCAACTCCCGGCCGCAAACCCCCCTCTCTGCTTGCCATGGCATCCTCTTAACTGAAAGGCAGGACCATAACAACCCAGGGCTGGGGAATTTCTCATCCCCCCCCGTCAGCTTCCAAAAAAAACAAACGTAGAACCCGATTCTTTGTCTTGTTGCCTGCCAGACATTGTGTCCTACTGTCAGAAACCTCTTTTGAATTTCTAAGTTCTGGAGATTTCCATGGGAGGTTGATGAAAAAGGACCCAATGTTCTGCAGCCTTCTGGTTTGAGGATCAGCCTCTGCAACAATCCCTTCTCTCTAAATTCTAAACTGGCAACACTGTTGTATGGCTTTCACTGTGAAAAGTCCCCCATAGGGTATGTGTTTGAAAGCTTGTTGTAAAGTTGTGGAGCCACAGGAAGCGGAGACTTGCTGGAGGAACTCCATCACTGGACCCTGAGGTTTTAAAGCTCTGCCTCCTGTCCACTCTCTGCTCCTTTAGTGCAGACACAGGCTCACACTGCTATGCTTTCCTCACTGTGATGGACTGGACTGGTAAACTGTGAACTAAAATAACCCATCCTTTTTAAGCTGCTTTTCTTTATGTACTTGGTCATGCAACAGAAAGTAGCTAATATAGATAAAACAAGATCCACTGGATCTCTAACAAGAATGGCTTAGAGGATCTAGCGTGGGTGAGCAAGAGACCACCTACCTTTGAAATATGGTATGAAGGACACTGTTAGGCCTTGCCTGGAGACTTCTTGTTGGAAGCTGGGGGCGTATGTTCGAAGCGTCACAGAGCTGTTTTGCTTCACCTGGATCTTCTCAATAGAGCCTCCTGGACAGAAGGAGCCAAAGTACAGGTCCTGGCCGGGCGTGGTGCTGGCTATGACGTAGCCGAAGCTGGTGTTGCAGGCCCTCTCACGTGTGTGCTGCTGTAGCTTCTGGCCTGGCACCAGCATAAGGCCGAGCCTGTCCTTGGGCACCAGCAGCTTCCAGGAGAAGTCGTGCAGCTGCACAGGCAGCTGGAGGATGTCTTTGGGCACCTGCAGGTGGAAGGACTTCCTGTAGCAGTAGTAGTAGTCCAGGCAGCCTGGAAGAGAGAGCTAGTAGTACCCACATGCAGGGTGCAGGGTGGGGAGCGTGGAGTGTGCCCCCCCCCACAGGCTGACCCAAGGCCAGAATCTGGGGCTGTCTGCTTTCCTCTCTACTGTCACTCTTCACTAGCTTGCCCGTCCACCCTCCTCCTCCTGCTCCTCCTGTCTACTAACCCTGCAGCCAAGCTCCCGTGAGTAGTCAGGACAGAAACACTCTCTTCTTGTTCGTATCTTCCTTTGTCTGGGATGCCAAGACACAGTCCCTTACCCCAACCTGTTCCCACTCTTCTTTGTCATGTCAGATCTGTGAGTGGCATCATGGCCAGCTGGCATTACCTCCCATCCCTTGTAATTGCTTGGCTTCCTGCTGCTCTAGCTCCTGTGACCCTCAGGCTTTGTGTCAGAGGTCATGGCGTCCCAGCAGGAGGTGACTGAGCTCTCTTTTCTGTTCTTTGAAACAGGGTCTCTCTGTGTAGCCCTGGCTGTCCTGAAACTCTCTGCGTAGACCAGGCTGGCTTCAAACTCACATCTACCTTCCTTTGTCTCCCAAGGGCTGGGATAAAAGGTGTGTGCTACTATATCTGGTTTCGATTATTTTTTTCTTGTTTTGTTTTTTTAAGACAGGGTCTCATCTAGCTAGGCTGGCTTGAAACTCTATGTAGCCAAAGATGACCTTAAACTTCTGATCTTCCTACCTGCACTTCCCAAGTACTAAGATTACAAGGGGTATGTGCATGGTCCGTGCATTGCTGGGGATAACTGAGGGATTTGTGAATGCTAGGATATCACTGTACCAACTGAACTTCAGCTCCAGTATGGAGTATGAGTCTTGCTACATTTGTCAAAAGACTCACAAGCCACAGAAGGAGCCAGGCTAAGTCCATTTTGTTTGTTTGGTAATATAGGCTCTCATTTTTCCTAAGCTGGGCTTGAGTTTGCATAGTCAAGGAATAGTTGGCTTATGTGGCATTAGGAATTAAGTCCAGGGCCTAATGCATACTATGCAAGCATTCTACCAACTGAATTACATCTTCGTGTCCCAGGAGGCTAAGTTTTTGACTGAAGAGGAGGCAGGGAGTAAGGCAAGTGGAGACTAGGGATGGGGCAGCTGGCAAAGGAGAGGAGGACTGGCAGGCTGGGTAGACCAGCAGGGACATCAGCCTGCTGTGACCTTCTGAGGGGTGTCTGACCTTCAGCAGACACCGGCCCTAACAAGGCCTGTCAAGACTAGCTGCTCCTCTCTCTCTTGTTCCTGTTCACCTGGCCTCAGTGGTCATTTCAAATTATACCTTTACAACCTACCTACTAAGCTCCACCAAGAAAGGAAAGATGAGGCCAGGTGAGGCTGCGCACGCTTTAATTCTAGCACTCAGGAGGCAGAGGTAGTCAGATCTCTGAATTCTAGGACAGCCAGGGTTACTACACAGAGAAATCCTGTCTCAACCCCCCACCCTACCCCAAAGATAGGAAAGATGGCTCACTAGGTAAAGGCACATGCCACCAAGCCAGACAACCTAAGTTTGATCCCTGGAACCTACATGGCAGAAGGAAAAAACTGACTCCCTTAAATTGGTCTCTGGCCTCCTGCCTATGCACACGTGCACACACATACACACACACAAACACACACTCACACCCATGTGTGTGAACACTTAATTTTTCTTTTCAAAGAGGCTGAGGCAAGGGATGGTGAAAGCCTACGCAGACTGGGCTTCTGGGAAAGAATGTAGCCAGGGTTTTTGGTAAGGACATACTTAGGGTTTTTTCTGCATTCACCCACAGGCGTGTCAAATCATCGCACAGGAAGGAAATCTTGTGTTTGGAGCCAGCTGTCAGGGTGACATTGGTACTACAGGTCCGAGACTCTAGACACACGAAGCACCCGGGAACAAACCTGCGGCCATGTTTGACTGGCCGTGGCTCTATGGTGAGTGACATGGTTCGCTCTTGACTCAGGTCCACCACGTAGGTCTTACCTGCATTCGCAAAGACACAAGGTGTGAGGCATGGATAGGCAGCTACCACGTGAGGTGGCCAAAGTGACAAGTCACCTGTTAGGATGAGCTGATTCAGATGGACAGACACACACACACACACACACACACACACACCCTCACCACTTCCTATGCTGTTCTCTCCTTCTAACAGGTTCTAGGCTCTGAGCTTGCTGTTAAACTCTAAGACTCCAGGCTAGTTCCACACTCCTCTGAATCTTTTGGTTTGATTAGAAAACTACGTGATACTTGGTATGTTTCACACAGGGTTAAAAATGTAGTGAGTCCAAGGTAAGGTGCTGTTCAACCAAGACCCATACAGTTACTACCCCACTGTTGCTGCTGCTGATGTTGCTGATGGCTCCCATTGCAGGGTGGAAACAAGAGGGTCTAGCAAGGCATCTTTTCAATGTCTGCATTAAAAACAGATGAGCTGGGGCTAGAGAGATGGCTCAGCAGTAACAGCACCTGCCGGGCTGCAGAGGCTCTGAGTTCAGTTCCTGGCACCCACACCAGGTGCTATAAGGGCACCTGAACATACATATCACACACACACACACACACACATACACACACACACACACACACACACACACACACACACACACCCTTAAAAAACAAAAAACAAACCAGTCTAGAACCCTGAACATAGGACTGTGCAGTGTAAGCTCAGTGTCAACCCGTGAGCCTGTCTCCATGCCTAGCAACCCACTTCCTGAAACTCCTGATCGTTCAGAGTCCACGAGTCCTAGACATGCAGAACGGGCAGTTACCTCACCTAGGCAGCACAGGAGGAAGGAGGGCGTGGGTTACTCACTGCTTTCATTCTGTGGACGTTGGACCAGGACCTGAAACTGTAGCCTAAGAATCCCTGGGCTCTGGGCATCCTGGTCACAGCCTTGCAGGGAGAGGTTGAAGTTCCCGGCCATGTTCCCCGGCTGCTGGTCCTCCAGCCTGAACACCTCCGGGTTGGTGGTGGATCCCGGGATGTAGTATTCAACTCGCTCCTCCTTCCTCTCGCAGTTGGAGACATTGAAGTTGAGGAAGGAGACACTGGCCCTCAGGTGTTCAGGGACCACGAACTGCCAGGTCATGAGCTCATCCTCAGGGAAGCCTCCTGGGTAGTTGGCGGACATCAGCGTTGCTGAGCCTTCACCCTCAAACACTGACTCGATGATGCACAGGCCTGTTGAGACAGATCCAAAGCAGAAAGAAAGGAGATGCTGACACCTGTCCTCGTCGTCCGTGGCTGAGAGCAGCGGTACTGGGGGAAATGCAGTCCTCAAAACTGGGGCTATGCATGGTGTTTACTCTGAGGGTGGGGGGATTAGGGACAAAGACCCATTAGCAGTGTATGAGCAAATGTTCAATAAATGACCAGGTTGGGAAGAAAAGCCAGTTTGTTCAGTGTACCCATCTCCTTGGGGTTAACATAGTCCCTAGGGCTTAGTTATAGCTCCCAACAGATCTGAACGTGGGGCTGGGCAGTATTCTGACATCACTCACACACACACACACACACACACACACACACACACACACACACACACACACACACACACAAAACGGGAACATTAGGCCACAGCAGAATCACAAGAAGTGATTAGCTTTGGGTATTTTGGTTTGTTTTTTATTTTTGTTACCTTTGCTTCTAAGATGATTCGCTTAGCTAAAGTTTCTATAACCTAATTTTTTGTAATGTTGAGCTGCTGAACACTGGCCCCTTCAAGATCTATTTGACTCTCATGAGGCAGCATGTGTGAGCAGACGAGCACAACAGTGAGGCACCGGCAAGCTTGGAGAAGACAGAAGTCAGGGTGACTAACAGAGGCGTGCTCCATGACAGCGCAACTGTAGGATGAAGCCCATGTGATTGGTGAAACAAGCATCATGTAAAAAAAGGGACAGAGGCTTGTAATACCGGCACTGGGGAAATGGAGGCAAGAAGATCAGGAGTTCAAGGCCAGCCTGGGTTACATAGTGAACTTGTAGCCAGCCTGGGCTATGTGAGACTCTGTCTTAAAAAATAAATAGCTGGGTTGGAGAGATGGCTCAGAGGTTAAGAGCACTGGCTGTTCTTCCAGAGGTCCTGAGTTCAATTCCCAGCAATCACATGGAGGTCCACAACCATCTATAGTGAGATCTGGTGCCCTCTTCTGCAGATAGAGTACTCATATACATAAAAATGAATAAACAAATATTTTTTTAAAAAAATAGCTGCCAAGCAGTGGTGAAGCACACTTTTAATCCCAGCACTTGGGGAGGTAGAGGCAGGTAGATCTCTGAGAGTTCAAAATCAGCCTGGTCTACAGATCAAGTTCCTGGACAGCCAAAGCTACACGGAGAAACTCTGTCCCAGATAGATAGATGGATAGACAGATAGATAGATAGATAGATAGAGCTAGATAGATAAATAAATAAATAAATAAATAGCTGACATTGCATCTGGAATACCCTAGAGTGTCTGGTGAATGTCTGGTATATGCCTGTCTGATCAGCAGGGATAGAAGGAGCATGCTCACGTTTTATAGATGACCGGTTTGCGATACTGAACCCCGAGACGTTCCTGGGTATGTTCCATGGCAGGTGTAAGGCCATCTTCACACCCTCTTGCATCTTGATCCGGGACACGGTGCCATTACTGCAGAAGGTCCCAATCCTGACCTCGGTAGCATCAATACGACCACTGATGGAGTAAGTCACCCCATCTGCACAGCGTTCACCTGGGCCGATCTGCCTCAGGCGAGGGGCTGAGAACTGCAGCTCCAGGCCAATGCTCTTATGAGCTCTGACGTCCCAGATGAAAGTTCTGTTGAGCGTGGGCAGCTCTGATGTGGATGGCTGAAGACGAACCTCCCCAAAAGGACATGGGCCTGACATGCAGTCTGTAACACAGACACAAAAACAATTTTGATCATAGATACAAGACCACGTGCTGCTCTTCAGCCCCTAAAATAGGCTCTTTAGAATTGTGTGCAGGCGGTTTCACCTCCACTAATTGCTCACTGGTGGCCTTTTGCTGGTCAGTGCCTCATATTTTGGATCAGAGAAGCCCCGGCCCCACTGCTTCAGGTGGCTGACATTGTATCACTTCGGCCCAGGAAGACTCTACATGCTTCACCCATGAGAGGCTGGACTTCAGCAATAACAGTCACCCATGCTCAGTTTCCTCCTGGTCCCTCTTTTGCTTCCCTCTGGCTGGGCTGCTTCTAGGGCACTCCCTCGTGGTGGGTAATCTAGACTGTCAACTTGATAGGGTTTGGAATCACCATGGAAACAAATCTCCGGGCATGTCTGAAATTTTTTCTAGATTAAAGGTGGGAAGACCCACCTGGAATGTGGGCAGCAGCACCTGGGTCCTGAACTGAACAAAAAGGAGAAAGTGAGATGAGCACTAGAGTTCATCTCTCTTTGCTTCCTGACTAGAGATACAATGTGACCAGCCACCTCTCTCTGCTTCCAGGCCAGAGATACAATGTGACCAGCCACCTCTCTCTGCCTCCTGACTAGAGATACAATGTGACCAACCACCTCCTGCTCCTGCAAGTCTTCTCTTCTGTGACAGACAGGATCTCTCGGAACTCTAATCCAAGATAAACCCTTCCTTCCTTAAGTCACTTCTGCAGGGTATTTTGTTACAACAATGGAATGAGTAATAATATGGACACACACACACACACATACACACACGCACACACACACACCCATCTTTGGATTGAAGACACCTGACAACTGTTTCCCAGGCATAATGCCTGTTATCTGTCAACTGTCTCCAACTGGCCTTCTAAGGAGCCACAGGGAGCCTGCACCTTGGAACAAGCTCCTCTTTGTGGGTATTAATTTCATGGTTTTGAGGGCACATTGCCAGGCTCCAGCTTTTAAACTTCCTTTTCCTTCTACTTCTCATTATTACTCTGGGCACATTCAGCACAGTTGCTGATCCCAAGGCACAGTGAACATCCTGTGCTGAGGCTCCATTAGCACCACAGAGGAATCCTCTTAAAGCTAATAACTAATTACATCCTCTGATACATTGTGTTTCTTAAGCCTTCCAAAACAACATGATTGTTGCTATCTAGGAGTATGTATGAAAGACTGAAATAACAGAAAGCAGGCAAAGACACTTAGGGCTTTTGTATTGTACAAAGAGGATACCTTTGGTCTATTAACAAGAATGCATGGGTCCTTACTTGTGCTCCACTTGGGTATTTGAAAGTGCTGTTGATGGGGTTGGAGAAAGTGCTTATAATGTGAGCATGAGGACCTGAGTTCAAATCCTCAGTACCCTATAAAAGCTGGGCATGGCAGTGCATTGAGGAACAGAGAGACAAGTAGAACCAAACTTTTAAAAGGTCAGTGAGAGACCCTGTTTCAAGGCAATAAGAGCAACGGAGGAAGACACACAGTGTGCTGCTCTGACTTCTGCATGTGCATGCATGGGTCTATATACCTGCATATTCATGTGCATATATATACCTCTTACCCACACACAAAAGCTGGGTGGGGCAATACATGCCCTGTAGTCACAGACCTGAGAGGCAGAGACAGGAAGACCCTGGGGTCTTGGTGGCCAACCAACCTGGCTAATTGGTGAGTTCCAGGTACAGTGAGAGAGCCTGTCAAAAAATACAGTGGAGGACAGTAGAGGAAGATACTGGCCATTGCTCTATGCCTTTCACGTGCATGCACATGGATATGCCTGTACACACACACACACACACACACACACACACACACACACACACACAAAACTCCAAATAGAATTAGGCGAATTCAAGAGTAATCTAAGACCTCTGAGATCATCCACATCAAACCTCTCATTATTGCAAAGCAGCCCCAGAGTTTAGATGACTTGTATATGGCCACTAGCAGATGCAGCTGACCCAGCACTGAAGCTGGGCTGTCTGTGGTCAACCTGCATTCGTGTCGGGGCACTGCACAGTCAAACCAATGAAACAGGATCAGATAAAATGGTGATTAATGTGGCTAAAAATTAGACTGTGTATCGATAAAAGATCACAGCTATTTTCTTAGGAGCTCATAGAAACTTCACTGTGTGCATGGAGCAGCTGTGTGTGTGTGTGTGTGTATGTGTGTGTATGTGTGTGTGTGTGTGTGTGTGTGTGTGTGTGTGTGTGTGTTGCTAGGCATATGGAAGTCAGAGAACAACATATAGGAATTGATTCTCTCCTTACCATCAGACCTGGCAGCAAGTGTCATTACCCACTGAGTCATCTTGTTGCCCCCCCCCCAGTCATTTCCCACAGTGTCAGGGCAAACAGCTAGTTCTTTCCACTGTGGGAATCTTAGTCCCCATCGAGGCACAGCTCCAAGACACAGAGCCTGGACTACTCAACAGTTTCTGGTTTAATTCTATGTCAAGAACTCAGTCAAAGATCCCGGTCTCCAGCCTCAGCTCTGTCGCTACACACGACACTGGGATGCAGCTGTCCTTGGTCACCAAACGCCTTAGCCAAGGGGATGGAAGAGGCTCAGCGACAGGCCTGGCTGTAAATCTCCTACATTCTTCCCAGTACAAAAACTCAAGCAAGTCAAACACTTCCTCTCCGGAGGAGGACATGTCACTCAGAAGTGAGTCATGCTCCCCCAGCAGAACTCTACCTTCATAAATTTTCACGGAACTGCTGTAGAATGAGAACGAAGATGTCAAACTCCACTAAAGTTTCCAGATGTTTGTTGGGAAAGGAAACAAGGAACAGGCACTGGACCCACCCCCAGGCCTACATTTATTATTTTAGAATCCACACTTTCTTGTCACCTTGACAAGTTGGGAGCATGCATATTTTTTTTCCATTTTTTCGAGACAGGGTTTCTCTGTATTGTTTTGGAGGCTGTCCTGGAACTCGCTCTGCAGACCAGGCTGGTCTCGAACTCACAGAGATCCGCCTGCCTCTGCCTCCTGAGTGCTGGGATTAAAGGCTTGCGCCACCACCGCCCAGCATTATTTATTTCTTTAGAAGCATGCATTTTCGCTACCCATCAGATAATTTGGGCATCCCAGTACTCAAGGACTAAGTGTACTCAAATGCTTTATCTGTGAGACGGCTCCTTAGACCTTTTTCAGGACTGAAGTCACTTTATTGGCTTACTTGGTTATAAAGTAACACATTCTTTTAAAGTGACAACAATGGAAAGGGCAGTGGAGATGAACAGAAAGGAAGGCCCAGGGCCCTGCACTCACCTCTGTGACCCTCTAATTCTTTGTCTTCTGTTCTGCTATGGTTTGGGTGTTTGTGTACTCTCTAGGATCCACAGGTTAAAAACCCAGTTCCCAGCATTGCAACTTTGAGAGATGGTGGCCGATAGCAGATAACTAAATCACGAGGCGGATGGCGATAGCGTCTTTACAAAAAGGCTAAAGTGGAAGGGATACCATCTCTTGTGCATTTACCTTGGGCTTGCCAGTCTCCAAAACTTCGAGAAAAAAAATACACTTCTCATCTTTATCAGTACCCAGCTTCAGGTATTGTGTTATAGCAGCAAAAATGTCCCATGGTGAGCCCCTTTTCTTTTTAGATCTTACGAGCCCATGAATCAGGATCCCAGAGGCCTACAGACCCGAGGCTTTTGGTCTCTCCTGTGTCCTGTGAAGAGGCTGTGTGGCCAAGTGGTTAAGAACAAACACTAAAGTTGGGTGTCATGGCATACACCTTTACTCCCAACATTTGGGAGGCAAAGGCAGGTGGGTCTCTGGGAGTTCCAGGCTAGCCTGGTCTACAGAGTGAGCTCCAGGATAGCTAAGGATATGCAGAGAGACCCTGTCTTAAAAAAAAAAAAACAGAAAGAAGCATTACAGCCAGAGTGTCTTGCTCCTGTCCTACTCTGCTCCCCACGAGCTGTGCTGGTCTGTCTGGGTTCTCTTGAAAGATTAACCATGAGCCCATGGGAAGCACATGGGCCTCTGAGTGGCCAGGAAAGAGTCAGGTTGGAGAGCTGAAACTTTGGAGCCGTCCTCTCTCCAGCACCAGAGCCTGGCACAACCTGTGACACAAGCAGCAGGGGCTGGGACCTAGGCAGCAGCTCACGAGGGCCAACTCACCGATACTCTTCTCGATCTCCAAGACAAAGTACTTCTCTGGATTGATGCAGCTGAAGGTAAAAGACTTTCTCTCTCCGGGTTTGATAAGCAACTCGGTGATATGCTGTCTAGACAGGATGATGTAGCAGGGTTTCACAGGCAGGGCTGGGCTTGCCAGCCTGATGCGCACCGTAACGCCACTTCCGTGGGGCAGAGAAATCTCAGATGCTTCTGGAGGAAGAAGCAAGAATGGCATTAAGAGATAAGGTCTATGAACGTTCTGTGGTCCCCCTGGCCTGGGAAGGGGGGGCAGTATGAAGTGGCAGGCCATCTTTCCCAATGGCAAAGATCCTGGACCTGCTGTCTGGGTAGGAAAACTGCCTCCTGTTTGGGATGTCAACTTTAATAAAAAAAAAAAAAAGCCACATTGCTGATCTCCTGGGCAGGATGTTTCAGATCCCTACACATGCGGCATTAATGACAAGCAGAGACATTGCCCTGTCTCTTTTTCTCTGTGGTTGAGACTTCGGTGGCAGTGGGGTGGGGTGGGGGAGCACTACACAGAGCCACCTGTCTGCAGAGACACGTGTCGCATGTATGCAGAGAGCTGCTGCTTCGACACAAAATGCTTTACAGGCCCAGAGCATACATTTGTACCACAGGTGGTGACAGGACATTTGCTACAATTAGAGGTGAAACATACTAGCCCAGCCTAGTGGTGCAGGCTCATCATCTCAGCTCCTTAGTAAGCCGAGGCTGGAGGATCAATGTAACCAGCTACTTTATGCTCTTGCTGTGTGCCTTCTCTCCCACGGTGGGCTATATATCTCTCTTTCAACTGCAATCTCAGAGAAACTCTTCCTTCCTCAAGATTTGGTCAAGACAATGAGAAAAGTAACTAATAGAGCCCTAGTAACACACAGCAACTTTCTCAGGCCAACCTGCAGCACTTCTCTTGCCTCACCCAGCTGTCCTGGGGGCTCTCTCTATGCCTCTGGTTCTAGTGTCTAGCCTGAGGGCACCTTGACATCTGCCCAAGTTGCCTTCTCTCGCTACCAGGAGGCAAGCTCCCACAGGAAGACAGCAGGACTCGCCATCTTGCTCAGCAGAAGCCTCAGGACCCAGCTTGCACCAGGTGCCCCAGGACATAGAAAACTTCAAGCCCTCAAATAGTTCTCTAGACAGGTACAGTTCCCACGGCATTGTTTTTTCTTGCATTTATTGCTCACGAATATATGACATCTCCTTTACTTCAGTGCAGGCCAATAAATCTTCCCTGGGGTAACAAGGGACACACACACACACACACACACACACACACACACAGAGACAGAGACAGAGACAAAGAGACACACACACACACACACACACACAGAGAGAGAGAGAGACACCATGTTTCTGTTTTCTGAGGCAGAAATATGTTTTCTCAAATGCTTTGTCCTGAAATGGTGTGATATTTGAATCTTCCAAGGCAGACTCAAAAGTCCAAGGAACTCTGTGTGACATCAGATCAAGATAAGAACCACATTCAGAATTGTGGTGGTCAGTTTTATATCTGAGCTGTGTTAATAGCGCTTGTGTTGTTTCTGTAATTGTAAAAATGTCTTCCATACTGACTATAAAAGGCTTGTGGTGGATCCTCTCTCTAGGCTTGGTCCGCCCTTCACAACCGTCTCCAGCCCTGGGTAACCAAGTCAAGCTAATTCAACATCAAGGGCAATTGGGTTGTGATGCTAACAATTTCCTTCATTCTTACTTGTGTTTTTCACCTTTTTGCCAAACCAAATTATCATTGTTAATTAGTATCTTTTGTTTGTTTATTTTGTTTTTTCACGACAGGGTTTCTCTATATAGCCCTGGCTGTCCTGGAACTCATTCGGTAGACCAGGCTGGTCAGAACTTGGATTTTCCTGCCTCTGCCTCCGGAGTGCTGGGATTAAAGGTGTTGGGCCTGGCAATTAGTATCACTGTAATTGTTAGATACAAGGCAGCTAGATTAGCAGTTGTGGAGCTGAAGTAGAGGAGACAGAGGGTACCAGAAAGCCCAGGAGACTCGGAAGGATGCAGAAGCTGCTGTAGGCCTTGACTATGATGGTGATGATCTGTGTGGTACATTTGTCATTACCTATCAGTCTGGGATGGCATTTTATGGTATAGCTTAATACATAAAAAGAGTTCAAACATTATACCTTAATACATTAAAAAACAAGTTCAAATTTTATACTTCATACATAAAAATAAGTGTTCATAAAAAGTCAAATACATCTAGAATACAGCTTAATGTTTTTGTGGAGTCTACCTCCTCTCAATGTGTGTATAAACATTTCAAATCTCTTTAAATGAGATTCAGAAGACCAAAGCAAGAGTACACCAAAATCTCACTTTCAGGGAGCAAGCAGTTTAGGACCCGAAGTAATTTTGGCAATTACCATCCATTCTGTTATTAACAACAGCCAAAGAAAAACATGAGATGTCTTTTAGAAATCCAGGCTTATTTGAATCTTTGAAATCAGATATTTATTCAACAACCATTTTCTGGGTTTGTAATATATTCCAAAGACCATGCTTGGTGCAAATAACTTACTGAGAAGGCAGGCATGGTAGTGCATGTCTACAATCCCAGCACCGGGGAGGCAGAAGCAGGCTGATTTATGTGAGTTCAAGACCAGCCTGGTCTACATAGCAAGTTCAGGCCAACCAAGGCTATTCAGTGAAGCCTTGCTCTAAAAATTAATTAACAGGAATATTCAGAGTCCCTACCCCCAGGGAGCTAACAGTCCAATTTGTCAATTTTAAAAATAACAACATTCCCAGACCTGGTGGTGGGCCCTACATAAAATCTGTTCATCTGTATTGGAAGCACTTTGTTTTTTAAATTATTTCTCTTTATGAATAGGGTGTTTTGTCTGTTTGTATGTCTGTGCATTATGTGTGTTCCAGCAGAAGCCACAAGACTGCATCAGATTCACTCTGGACCTGGAGTTACAGAGAGTTGAGAGCTGCCCTATGGGTGCTTGGGAATTGAACCTGTGTCCTCTAAAGAATTACCAGGGCTCTTAACTACCGAACCATTGTTCCTGCCACTGGAAGTTTGTTTTTTTGTCTTTTAACACTTTGGGATTCACTTTTATTTATTTTTCCACATGAAGAGCCAGCTGCTCCCATTTAACTAGTGAGCACAGCAGTGGTTTCTCCACAAAGCATAGTATGCCCACTCTGGACATACTCTCTATTTTGGGTCTACACAACCCAGATTTTTCACATGAATTCATTATTTTTTGACTCTCAACAGACCACCACCCAACTGAGTCCTACACTTGGGTGCATTGTACTGCCTGGTCGCTGTGTCTTTGTTATAAGTTGAATATGAAATGTTCCCATAGGTCCTTGTGGTTTGGTCCCTGATGGATACTACTTTAGGAAGTAGGACCTAGCTGGAGAAGGTGGGAGTATCTTGTCCCTGGCTCCTGTCTCCATGTGCTTCCTGTCCATCACGAAGTGAAGAAACCCTCACCACATCCTCCTGCCGCTGTGATGGTCTGACTAAATAAATACACACGGTCAAGCAGCCATAGCCTGACCATCTGGGATTGTGAGTCAAAAAAAATCTTTATTCCCTCAAATTGTCTTCTCAAGAGTTTTCGCAGAGAGAAAGGTAACCAATTCGTTATCCTCCAGCAACCCAGATGGCCAGATCCTAGTGAGCCTACCAAGCTTCCAAAGGGAAAACTGAGTTACAGACGCGTTCAGCATGGTCATTTCCCACCCTCGCTTGCAGCGGAAGGGGTGAGTTCCATTCACAGGCTGCCCTCCAGAGTCACAAGCAAGGACTCTTCACTCACATGGCTGCCATGTGCATCTGCCCCCCCCATCCTGAACAGGGAGGGCAGAGAGGGGAAGAGGAGGTAAGGATTCCTCCACCTGTGGCTCCCTATACCCACTTCAACACTCTAGAGGTCACTACTTCACCGTGGTGAGGGGTCTTGGGAACAGCGCTGCTTGCCTAGAATAAACCAGAGGCTCCTTTGATTACAGATACTTGGAATCTGAGAACATTTTGTTTACACGGCTTTTCCTAGTACCCACTCAGGCATTTATCATACCTTGAAATTAGAAAAGTTGACACCCACCCACTCATCTCTGTTGGGCCTGGCACACCAGAGCCCTGATGAAGGCTCAGCAGTTTGGAGGAGAGAAAGGAGATCTTTCTTTTTCCGGCATTTCTTTCAATTCTGAATTTTATAGTTCACTGGTGGAAAGTTCACAAGGTTTGCGACCCTGGTCCAGAGAAACACAGAAAACACTCCCAATGCCGATGTGATATTGGGATCTTCTGGGCTGAAAGAAATACAAGCCAGCCTTGTCGGGAATAGGTGTGGGGCCCTGGGGGAGCTTCTGAAGCCCCAGGTCAGCTCCTGAGTCACAGCTCTCTCCAGCTCCCTGCGTCCTAATTCTCCTTATTAGGACGTCTTCACTCATCCCACCCAGGTGGGAATTTCCAGTGTTTCTAATCATCGTTCATCATTCACGTATCAAGGGATACTTCACAAGGATCTCTTGCTACTCCTTCCCCCACTGTCCTGTTTCATTTCAGTTCTCTCTGACAGGGATTAAAAGGCTAAGGACCCATTTCCTCCCATATTTGTCAAGCAGTTTCTAAGACTCTCTCTCTCTCTCTCTCTCTCTCTCTCTCTCTCTCTCTCTCTCTCTCTCTCTCTCTCTCTCACACACACACACACACACACACACACACACACACACAATTTAAACACTGTTAGATGCATCAGAACTAGTTGCCTTCATGCTTGGTGTGGTTTCCTCCAGGCTCACATTCACTTTCTCGGTCTAATCATGGTGTACTAAGCAGTGTCCAACCAGGGACGAGGCTTAAGCCTGGGCGCCCTCAGGCCCAGCGCCCCGGAGGAACCCCAGAATGTCAAGGGAGACAGTCATGGAGTGCTAGATGTGAATCAGCATGGGTGATCAGTCACGGCTTGTGTGGGAGTTGGAGTCCAAAGCCAGTACGTGAGATGCCGACAGGTGCCGCCCTCTCTTAGAAGATGCCGCAGTGTGGAGCAACCTCTTCACCCGATGGGTTCGCCGGCTAGTGTTTCCTGCCTGCATGCCTCGGGTGCACATTTCTTGGTTGAATGAGTGATTTGCTTCTAGGACTGGGCTTGCAAAAGACACCTCATTAACTGATGGCTTGCTCAGAGGATGGGGTGCTCACA